AGAGTTTTTTATATGATTCTTGGAAAATTAATTTGTGAGAGTTTTTTATATGATTCTTGGAAAATTGATTAACATTTTGTCATATTTTTTATAATTATAACTAATCTTAAACCTTTCTCAGGAGATTTTGATTCCCAAAAATTGGCAAATGTACTTCAATTAAGATGTTGTACTTATTATTTGCATAAATTTATTTCCTGAAAAAGCCGTATTTTTCCGTTTAAAAGTGTTCACCTATTTATAGCTTATATATTTTCCCCAGATTGATGACAGATCACGTAAAAAGCGTACTTTTTATAATAATAATTTCAAAACTGTTGACGAGTACCGCATTTTCAATTTATTTAAAATAGCTAATGTTTGTGAAACCTGCTTTGAATTGATTTAGATAGTATTAAATGGTGTTTATTAGCAGAAAAACCTCAGCTATTAAATCTTCTGAGCACAAATCTTTCCGTTTTCTCTGCTTCAATAATTCAAGTTCCAAGTTATTAAGCAATGGAGCTAGTTTATAGTAGTTGAAAATGGTTGGATAGATTTACAATGAAGAAGAATGCAGAGAGAACGGAAAAGAAATCCAATAGTAACGGTGCTTTTTCTTCTAAATGATAATTTGTCATTGTGTGGTATTTTGGTGTTCAGTATTCCTAGACGTCCTGGATATAGTTATGGTTACTTATTGAAGAGCTGCGAAAGGCTTTATATGTGTGGAACAAGAAAATCAAACAAAGCGTGCTTTTCAAACATCTATTGTTATTTGTGCATATAACTCGGGATCTATACTGTATTCTAAGGAAGTTTCATTCTGTAGTGAGCGGTTACAGTTTTCTCTTTTTTTTCCCGTTTATCATTGAATTAACTCCCGAAATACATTAGTTGTGTTTTAGGTTTACTCAGGAAGAAAGGTAGTAGATGATATTGAAATGGTATCAATGGCTGAACGGCTTTACGATTTTCATCCATCATCACAATCTTTACTATCAGCCGCAATCAATAATCAAAAGCAACAACAATTAAGCTCTCCACATTCGGAAACAGTGGAACATTTACATCAGATCTCATCTGAATCCATATCACAGTGGTTTCAACATCTTGTAAGTATGTTCTCATTGTTTTTGTTCATTTCATGTTTTGGTTTATTTTATTTCATTTTATGAATAGTTTGTAAATTTACCGACGTAAAAAAAAAAGATTTTGTTATGATTAAAAAAGATATTGTAATTAAACCTTGTTATGATCATGTTATCCGTAGTTAATATCGCAACATTTATGCATACTACACTTGTATGATTAAATGTATGATCAAGATATGAATACTATGCTTGTGTGATTAAATCGGAATGACCATTACAGCATTTGGAATATTATCTTGTGCTGATTGACACTTCAAGATTTAATTTTAGATTTTCTTGCGGATTTTGAAAGCTCTCATTTGCTTTGGTCTCTATTGCATTCCAGCATACTTCCTTGCCGTATGCATTTTGCAGATTTCACTGTTACATCCTGTTCAGGCAGCTCTAGGTAATGTGAAATTTCGATTTTTATTTACTTTAAAAATGCTCTAACATCCCAACCATCGAATATATGAACTTTTTTATTACTACTTTTTATTACTATTGCATTTGTTACTCAATGAGAAGTCAAACTGTAGAATTTACAAAGAAAATTAAGAAATTCAATCCTTTAATTTGTTCTTTTACTAATATGACATCAATAAGTGATAAATTGGTAACGGAGTGCAGCTGATATTTGACGACATCATTCACACTAAATGCATTCAGGTGTACCTTCTCGAAAATATTTGCGAATCTATTTTTATCTCCACATGGTTAAATAATTTTTCATTCAATTGTAAAATTTTGATTTTCTGTTGATAAATTAATTATATGTTAAGAAAGAAAATGGAATGAAATATTTGCAGATTGTTCGTCGTTGTTATTTTCGTTTCGCAGTATCTTATATTCATTACTCTTTGCAATTTTTGGTGCAATTCATGCTGCCTTACTTGCATTTTTCGTATTACGTTTCGACAACGAAGATAGGTATTCAACTATTTGAATTTTGAAAAGTTTAAAAATTTTTTGATGAAAAATTGTATTTGTTAGAAAAAAAAGAAAAACTACGACATGGAATTTTATGATAGATTTTTGATTGTGAGAAGAAACAATGTAGGATTGTAGAAGCTTCACTTTAATGTACAACAATTCTGAATGGAAAGAAGGTCATTCACAAGTATCGTGCATTAAAGTGAAGCATTCTTTTAAAAAATTTATTCAAATAAATGAACTTTTGCAGGCTCTCTTGCAAATCTTTACGAGCGTGGTTGATTTATTTCGCATCGTTGAATACCGCTTTTTTACATGTTATATGCTTATCATTAGGTTCAAACTCTCCTGAATTTACAAGGTATTTTCACGTGCTACCTGTTTGTATACCAATGACACGAGTTTTGAATTTCACTCAAAAAATTAAAGTATAATTTGGAATAACTTTATGAACTGAATAACTTTATACAAAATAATATTACTTGAAAAACCATACTTAATTTTATTAGTTAGTAAAATCTGATACTTATTGGAGAATACTTCAGCGCTGAAAATAACACTTAAATGAACACTTACTTAAAACAGTTAAATAATACTTAAATACATTTAAACTTAAATGAACACTTAAACTCAAATACTTCAGGTTGAACGCTTAGACACTTAAATAAAACAGGAACACTTCAGGTTCTTCATTTATTTGCTAACTGTTGCGCAGGCTGTAATTACTTTTCATGAACTATTTCGCAGAAATCATCGATTAGTATTTCCAGTTATTGAAGTAAGTTTTTGTAAACTTTTCCGTTAAGTTCTCTCATGTTTTCAGTTATAACTTTGTCTTTTTTAAGGGTTTTGTTGCGATCGTACTTTTTATGAGCAGTCCTTTGGGTTGTCTGTTATGTTTAATTTTGTTTTTTTAAGAAAAAAAAAACATTCAATTGATATTTTTGAAGATTCAATTAATATTTTTGGCTTCAAAGAAGTTGTGCATTGATAATAATGAAAGAGCAATAAAAGGTTGTGACAGTGAACTGATTGATGAATTTGCTATCAAAGTTCTTTTACATTTTTTTTAGATTTTTCAGATACAATTATGATTATTAAGATTCCCTATTTAAACGAAAGTTTGTTTCGGTAGAGATTACTAATATTTACAGTCCCAATTTTAATGGATTTCAGATGCAGCCCTACATGCAGTTTAATTTCGTTTTGATACCAGCAGCTAAGAGTATTCTAGACATGAAGGTTTCTCAGATCTTAAAGTGGATCGCATTGTTTGTAATGGCTTGTGGTAATTTTACTTTTGTTTTTTTAAATTTCTTTTATCTTATTCATTAATTGTTTCGGTCCAGTTTCTACTGCATTTGGAAATTTTATTTTACATTAATTTGAATTAGTTATTCAACTGATATTATTTTATCTTATTGCATTTTCTTTGGCATTACCGATGCTGTTCAGATTCGAAATATCTTTGTTATGAAAGCAAGAAATCTGATGCGGAAAATTCTGTCATATTTTCAGGCTTGCCGTTATTTGGTTGGTCATTATTTCGAAATCTTTTCAACATCTCTCTATACTTCAGTATTTCGGTGCTTTTGATGGTTCACTCCTTCCTGCATCATATTGCTGTAGGACTAATAAAAGTCTTTGTCCTTCAGGTAGTTCTTTGACAATTTTTCGGTTGTCCTAAGTCCTGTAAAGTTTTAGATCAACAGATACGAACATAATTCCAGTACTTATTTCATTTTTCAGAGTTATGAATTCTCCATGCCACCACCCCATGCTGTATTAAATCCAACACCGGAAGAACAGAGGACGTTAATGGATGCCCTTGAATCTAATGGCATCATAAAGGTTATTTTGAATTTATTAAGGCTATAAATTTGTTTTTATCAAATGAGAGTTTTTGAATTATTATTTTGTCCTCCAGGCTTTTGCGTTTTGGGACTTGCGATCATTAAGTGCTGCATGTTACCATCGTCGCAAAATTATTTTCTCTTTAAGTCAGCCAGGTATTTATTTATCTTTGATAATTCATTTTAATTAAAAACTAATCAATTCTTAAAATCCCTAAGTTAAAAAATTTTTTGATAAAATCATAAGTTGCAGTTTGCAAAGGATGGAGAAAATGAATTGCTTGTGTGATTTTGAGTTGATGAATTAAATTGGGAGTTTAAAATATTATTGTCTGTGCACGCTATAATAGGAAGAATTGATTGTAAACTTTTTAAATGTTCTAATGGAACTTTTGCGGAGTTTTCAGGTGGTCATCCTCGGAATTGGAATGCTATAAAATTTTCATGTCTGCGACACATACAGCATTTAAGTCTGCAGTTTGAAAATGAAAATGACCGGATTCGATCCGAAACATTTGCAAGTGTAGTAAGCTTTCTTTGTTGACTGCTCTTGATTGCTTTTAATTACTGGTTACAGCTTCATTATTTTTGTTTATTTGTTATTATTGTTGTATAGTTTAGCATTATCTTTAACAAGTTTATGGTCAAGTAACACTATTTTTAATACGTTTATGGTAAAGCATAATGATGTTATTTAAGGATTGGCAATGTTCTCCTTATCAATCAAAGCGTATATTTTTTTATAATTTTTGTTTAGACTGCTCCTTTATTGCCATCATCAGATAGCAATCGCCCAGTTATTTTGGGTCAAATAGCATGGCAAAAAGGTATTTTATCTCTTTATTCATTAATATGAAACATCAACTTTAAAATAAGGTAGACAACTGGAATAAATTAATCTGGTATCTTGGATTATTTTCGTGCTGGTACAGCAGTTATGCATATCATTCTATTTCCTAAAACATATTTAGGATGCAAATGATTTAGCCATTTATCTTATTGATGTTCTGATTAGATTGATGGCAGACTAGATCATGTATTTTGTTCAAAAATTTTTATAAAATCATTTTGAGATTGTTTCTTTAATGAAAATGATAGTTACAGTTTGCACTGGAGATTTTCTGAAATGTCAATGATCTGTTAATTAAAAAAGTATTAATGACATCTGATTGAAAATTACCTATCAGTTTGCTAAATGTCATTTTTTAGATGGTCTTCGACAACGTTTTCTGCCTAAGAATTTGCGGAAAGCGAACAAAGATTCCTCGCATGCTGATCTGGCGAATAAATTATCATCCTTTTTGAATAAGTTTCTTATTCATGCCAGTCATCATATTGTTTCATTCTTCGATGTTTATATTGGTATCCTCGCAATAGAAAGTTGGTTTATCGCAAGAATTTTATTTTTTTTTTTAAATTTAATAGAAATTACGGTTTAAAATTCGAAATAAATTACCAGTCCCACAATTCCGATAATTATTTACGAAACTAATAATGCCCAGCTGTAATGCTGCCGGTTGATTTTTTTTTTTGATAATTTGCAATATCATATCTTTTGGTTTTAACTAATTAGCGGTATATTGTTTAAAAAAGTACACCATTTCAGAACTAGTCTTATTACTACTAAATAAGCCGGTTGATTTTTAAATGTTTTTTCTTCAACTGGAATTCAGTCTCAAATAAAAATTGCATGCCTCATCTTTTCGAGAAATAAGAATGCGTGAAATAGAGAGGGGAGAATTCATTTCGTCCTTTTTGCACCGTTTAGTAAATGATTTGACAGTTATATCTTTTTCAGGTGTGGCGGCACTTATTTGCGTATCATTGAATGAGGATCGTTTCGGTGTGGTACAGAAAGATTTGCAAGAAATAATATCGGTATTTCTTCAGTTTTCCAATAATCTTGAAAGGTATATGCGTTCCTTTAAAAAGGTTAGTGTTTTTGGCGAATAGTTTTATCTTTTATAGATAATTTAGTTTTTTACCAGTAGACTTATGGTGATTTTTCTCTATATTTTTTAAAAATTCTATTCTTTTGTGCTGCTAGAAGTTATCAAATGAGCAAAAACTTTACATCGCTTCAATGCTCGTTTTCTCTCATCTTCACCATCAATTTGAATTTTTTTGAAGATGGCTAAAATTGTGAGAACACAAAAATTAGATTTGAATAAAGGATTTATTATAGAACTAGACTGTATTAACGTTAGATGAAGTTTTCATTTAAATCCTATTTTAAATATATGTTAAAGATGGCATTTACAGCAGTTGATGTTTACAAATACGGTTTCGATGGCATGATCTTTTTTTAGGATAAGGAATGGCAAAACAAAACATGTGTACCTCTTCTAACTTCCATTACTATGGCATTGAATCGTATGCGCTTCACATTTCCGGAAAGTTCATTGTATGTAATTCTGGTACTTATTTATCAGTGGCAATTTTTTCTTTTAAGTGATCTGGAAAAAAAGTGATTCCAAGTATTAGTTTTGGTTTTTTTTCAGATCCAAACTATTAAGTGCCCAACAAGCATTCTATTTCGAGAAATTGACGTCGTTTGATTAGAAATTTCAAGTTTGCTTTATATGATCTCACGCAAACATTGAGTTCGTAAAAGTGTCTAAAAAGTTCTCTTTTCAATTTGAGAAAGCTTTTATAATTGAAGAAAATTTTGTCTACCAAAGTATACAAAATCTTGAAACTTTGAGAAAAATATGATGAAAACTTCAATCAGAAATTTTTTGTAAAATTGAAAGAAAAAATAGAATTGTATGCTCGTTTTACTTATTTGTTGCATTGTCTTTACTAAGTCCAATAAAAGATTGTTCTCCAAAGATTAAACCATATACCGTAGTTATTATCTACTAGTTGACTGGATTTTATAGGTTAAATAAAATGTAAATTCAAAAAATTGCTTTTCTGAATTTTATTTTGAAACAATGAAATCTTTCTTGTTAGAAGAAAAATTCAATTTTACCTTGTATGGTTGATTGATTTAGTTCTTCATATTGTTTGGAATAGATCGTGATTTATGTAATTTATTTGTCATAACTGATGTTTCGAAGTTAAATCAGTGAACTGCCGAATTATATGAACGAATGGGTCGAATTTCGCATTATTCGGGTATCCCGTGGAATATTTTTCGAAATAAACCGGATTGTATGTTGGTCAGCGAAAATTTTTAGTCAACGTTGGTCTAAATAATTCATAATTCACTTTATGCTTTATAAATATTTAGTTCGTGCTGTTCTTGTTGAAGATGTTCTGAAGTTTTTTGAAAAATAAATTTGCATATGCAAAATCTAGTTTTTGAATGATCACATACTTTATCGTTCATTTATGAAATGAAACGATCGAAGCTGATGATGTATTTATCGTTTTAATAATGGATTTCGGGGTAAAGAAGAAAAAACGGTTCATGGCCATTGAACTATTTTTACATCATTGAGTTTAATTTCTTATAATATCATTCTTGAACTGTCAAATTTAATTCTTTTTTCCTGAGTTGAATTCATCATTATTAAATTCAACATATACTTGTTCATAGTGCCAAGTAGAGAATCCTTCCTTTTAATTTTCAGATCCATTATTCAATTTTTTAATTTCAGATTTTTTTTCTCATTCTCCAGCATTGACTCTTCTCAAGCAAAAATTTAATTTAGTTTCCAGCAAAATTAATATGAAGCGCACACGCGTAATAGAAAAGGCAGTGTAATTTAGTGTAATTTAACTTTTCACCCGTACTATCGTCCCATTTGTCTCTGTACTTTCCGGAATGTGCTACCGTAACGCTAGACTGCCAACCGTATGGTGTGCAACTTTTTGCAATAGGTTACGAGGATTACCGTAAGCCGTTTTGTCTTTTTTTTTCTTCGATTCCTTATGCGGAGTTTCTGGATTAACTCTCCAAAAATGACAGTTCCATATGATTAGTATTATTTCTTTCTGGTTCCGATTTTTGTTTTTGATATTCTCGAAGTATAGCATTACATTATTGTACCAGGTGTTATCCTCACAAATTTGAATCTGAATGATGAAAAGATGAGAGGATTTGATGATAGACGCAATTATTTTTCGTGACGAAAGCTGTTATAGAAACATAAAGAAATGCTAATTTATTTTCCATCATGAAATACATCAAAAGTGGAAGCTTTATTTGCTCGTATTTTTGGGATTTTAGTTTTTTCTTTTTTTTTTAAATCAGATATTTCAATATTGTTTAAAGTCATTTAAAAGTCTCATCAATTTTACTACTTATAGGTTGTTTTCTTCGTCATTTCTGTTATCGTATCTTCATCTCAGATTATTTAATCTTGCCGTTAATACAGATGCAGTTTTGCAGAGTTTACACTATTGGATTGTTAAATTTTCGACAAATTTTTTCATCTCCTTCATATTCCTCAATCAAACAGGTACCACTATCATTTCTTGAAATGAATGCTTATTCGGATAGTTTTTGACATGTGTAGGATGTTTCTTGAGGTATCGATGTGAAGTTGATAGAGGAGTACCTAACGATAGTTTAAAAGAGATTTTAAGAGAGATTTTGAAGAATGTTTTTCAAATGCTGAGATTGTACTCAGATGTAATAAAGGAAATTCTGAGCGTTAAGAAAAATTTTAAATTCTTCTTGACGTAGTATTGACATTTCTGCGGAGTGACTGAAGTTTTTCTTAATTGTCTTAACTTACTTTGATAATTTTTAAGTCAGAATTGAACGAAAATAAAGCTTTATCGAAAGTATGTAACGAGTAATAGTATCACTAGAGGTCTACTACTTATTTAGAACAATACGACAGGCAATATCATGTCGAGAAAGCAAGTAATCAACGATACAACGAAGAAGGATGTGCCTGAAAATTCACCAGTGACGGAATCATCGGTGCCAGCGGATACTGATTCAGTTACTTCGAGTGTTCTTGAGAAGTTGGTGACCAAATTAGGGAAATTGACGACTAAAGAGAAAGAAAAAGGTGTGATTTGAGATTAGCAGCTGTGAACAAAGTTATTTAATTGTTCATTCCAAGAATGTTATCCGAGTAAAGGAAAAATTAGAGCATGAGAATGAAATTGGATTGAAATGGAAACATTTTTGATCGAAGTCCATAGATGGTCTAGAGATAGTAAATGGCGTTGTAGAAATTCGTTGAATTATCCTAAAAGAGATATATGTGGTTATTTGTTGCATTAAACTAGATTTTGAGATTGAACACTATAGTGGGCAAATTATTTTAGGAAAATTACGAGTCATATAAAAATAAAACACTTTTTCAGATACGAGGCAGAAGTTATCGTCATTGACAATTGAAGGTATTGCCGAATATATTTGTAAATCTGGGGTCAAAAATATAATTGTCCTAACAGGAGCGGGCATATCGACATCTGCTGGTGTTCCAGATTTTCGAAGTCCAGGTGCAATTTTTTTCGAAGTCTAGCGCCAATTTTTTGTTGGTTGGGAAATCAATTTTTCTAGTAATCTATCAAAATATCCCAATGCATTGATCTGATAATATTGTTTTATACCCTTTTGTATTTTGCTTTTTATATGAACATCGAAAAATTGATTCCCCATGTTTGTTTTTATAAATCTGAAATATGGTAAACAATCCATGTTTTGATTTTTAAATATTTCGAGAAAGAACAACAATTTATGATTGATTGTACATGCATGAAATTTTAATTTTTGTGAAATTCAGGTACTGGGTTATATGATAATGTATCACAGTACAATTTACCGGATCCAATGGCTATTTTTGATATTTCTTATTTCAAGAATCATCCTGAACCGTTCTACAAAATAGCAAAAGATTTGTTCCCATCACATTTGAAGGTGAAACTTCTGAAATTCAGAGAGATAGAATAATCAAAAGAAGTTTTCGTTTTTGCTAGATTTTCTTTCTTGTTGTATAAGTGATTAATTCAAAGAAATGCCATTAATCTTTATAGTGAGGGAATCTTATTGGCTATAAGGATTGGTGGAAAAGTGTTAAAATAGTTTTTATGTTTTCAGCCTACTCCTTGTCATTATTTAATTCGTCTAATGGATGAAAAAGGTTTGCTGTTAAGATGGTACACACAGGTATGTTATATTGCTATTTTCCTAAAGTTAGTATAATGCTTATATGTTTATGCATTCAGTTCAGTTGCATGAACGGATTTGTGTTAATTTTTTCATCTTGGTTAATGTAACCATCAATCAACATTTCTTCATTCGAGCATCCAAACGTAATTTAGTTTGCTTAGGATACTTGATATATATTCTGCTTTTCAGCATACTTGCAATTTTTTCTTTGGACAACTATACTGCAATTAGTTGTTTAACAGACAAAAATCATCTGTAGGTAGAAGAATGAAACCAGTTTTCTAAGGATAAACTATGCCATTTTTTCCTCTGCATAATTGTTTATTCAAAAAGTTATACGTGTTTTCAGAATATTGATTCTTTGGAATTTGTGACAGGTATCAGTGAAGATAAGCTGGTGACAGCGCATGGGTGTCATCACACAAGTACTTGTTTATCGTGTCGTGCAAAATTTGATTTAAATTGGATAGCGAGTGAGTGCTTTTGCATAAATGTTGAGTGTTTGCAAAGACTTGATCCGATAGCTATGAAGAGATGGGAAGGATGATCTGATCAACTGGCATCAGGAATTAGAAGTGTAATGTAGTTCCCTCTATTTAGTTTTAAGTGCCAAAGAAAGTTTTGATTATAAGAGATGTCCTTCAACTTTTCAAGTATTTCTCGAAAAATTGTGAAAAAAAAAAGCACAGAACTGAACGGAAAATCCATCTTCGAAACTTTTTCAGATAAAATATTTGTGGAACATGTCAAAGTAGCATATTGCGATAAGTGCGGTGGAGTCGTTAAACCTGATATTGTATTTTTTGGCGAAAATCTTCCTGCACGATTTTTCAATTGCTCAATCAAAGTATCTTTTGGAAAATATAAAGCAGACAAGTTGTGTAAGGCAAATTTGGTTAGATCAGGCCGGAAGTAATAGATTGCTCTTTGTATTCAATAACCGAATATTCACAATTGTTATTCAGAAGTCAACAAATGAAACCTTTTCAGGATTTTCCCAAATGTGATCTTCTTATTATTATGGGAACATCTCTCGTCGTTCATCCTTTCGCAGGATTAGTTGATGAAGTTAATGATGATGTGCCACGATTATTGATCAATTTAACAGAAGCAGGCTATAGCATGAACTCATTGTTTTCTTATGGGGGTAGTTCCGGCTTATGCTATCGTGATAAGGATAACTACAGGTTTGTTTTGGTGATAGTAATAGAAAAGATAATAGTGAAATAGATAGAGTTCGTTTTAGGAAAAAATGAACGCATGATTTGTTTCAATTTTTTTTTTTTTTTGTTGAATTATTAGATAATATAATTTTATTGTGCAATCGTTGTTTAGAGACGTATTTTGGCAAGGTACAACAGATGATGGCGCTTGGAAATTAGCCGAATTATTGGGGTGGAAAACAGAGCTTGAGAAATTAATTGAGACTGAAACGAAGAAAATCGATGAGAAGGAAGAAAAAGATAAGAGAAACGTTGAATCTACTGTTGCAACAACTGAAATCATTAATAGTAATGAAGAAACGACGAAATCAATTGATGAAAAACCAAGCAAATCATAAAATATATGTTGATTTAATTCCATCCTTTGTTCTGAAGACACTTTTTTTTAGATTAATATATCCAGTGATTATCTATTTTCAACATCATTTTCGTTCTTATCCGTCGTTCAATTAATAATGTCTAACATGGATATAAACATTATACTGTAACATTAGCTTTTTTTCAAAAAGTAGCAGCAAATAATCGCTGGGGCCTTGATAATTATGGTTTTTACAAGATTTTTACTTTTGTGCAGGTACTTTTGTGCCTTTTGTAATTTGTATGTCAGCATAACGATTTCAACATATGAGTGAAATGTTGTACAGTAATTCCGGTAATCACTATGGTATTATGGCTAAGCAAGAGTGATGTTTTTCTAGACAATATATTTACGATGTAAGAATTGAAGCGGAATTCAAAATCTGGTTTCCTCTTCCCTGAAATGAATTTATGAATATTATAATGTTCTCTTTCCCTTAATGTCAGGTTTTAAAATGTGCTTGTATAATTTACTATTCAAAAATAAATTTATTAAAAAAAAATGTTCTTATATCATTTAGTATTCAGAAATAAATTTATTCATTTTTGTTCATTTATAAAATTAGATTCTCATATATTTTTATCCTTACATAGTCAAGGATGGGATGAATGAAATCAACTAATTATGTGAAGTAAGCAGGATTGCACTCTGTAGTGCCCTCATCATCCTGAAAGCACATGTGAATGAGTTGATAAAGATTTATTGCTTGACGAAGGATTTATTTTTTGAGTGTGCTACAAGGCAATTAGCAGAACATATCACTGATATGGCTATTGCTAGTTAGCATTGCGAATAGTGCGATGGTTGAACCGAGTAGTGAGATAAATTTCCTGGAATCTGAAGCTATAAACATATTAAGTGACATATTTATGAATTAGAAACGGAAATCAAGAAATCCAAAAATTACTGATCAACCGGGATTATGCCATTAACCATGCTTATGAATTTTGATGAAAAATAGGACCAAAATTAAAATAAAGTAAAATGAGATATATGATTGAATCATATGTCTCAATTAGCATATCATCTTTTCAGCGCTCTTTATATATTTGTAGGAGAAATAGCAGTCATTAAAAATCTTCATCATTTTTTCCCAAATTAAAATTTGACACTAACCTGAAACAAAAATTTTTAAAATTGACAATTTCGAGAAATGTTTGACACTTTCCTCAGACCTCGATCATGCAGTATAGCAACAAAATTTCCTATAACTTTCACTATTTTCATCCAAACTAAATTTGACTATGTTTTACAATTAACAATTTTACGAGAAAGTTTTACAATTAACAATTTTACGAGAAATAATTTCACATTTTCTCACATATCAAATGGGACAAATACTTCCAAAAGAAAAGTAAATTAAATATGAATAAAGCTGTGTGCATGGATCTAATTTTACAAATGAAAAAGAATCAAACTTAAAAAACCATCAAGAAAACCACAAAATTTTAATTGCTATAAAAAATTTTGACAGCGAGAGAGAATGAGAGAGAGAGAGAAATAGAGATAGAGATAGGGATAGAGATAGAGATAGAGATAGAGATAGAGATAGAGATAGAGATAGAGATAGAGATAGAGATAGAGATAGAGAGATAGAGATAAAGAGAGAGATATAGATAGAAAGATAGAAATAGAGAGAGATAGAGATAGAGAGAAAGAGAGAGAGAGAGAGAGAAGGAGAATCGGATTTCGAATTAAATCCATCCTACGTGAGATTTTCATAACGTCCCCAATCACTATGACTGTTATGATGTTGCAGTGTATATTATACTGCCTACAGTGGGAGAGGGTATATTTTTGAGTGAGATTAAAGGGTAAAGGTTAAAGTGTTGTGTTTGAAGAAGTAATAGATGTAATTAAGTCTTAATGAAGCAGTACGATGGGAGTGGGAATGAAATATGCTTGGATTTGACGAGAAAAATTGGTAATTGTTAGGGCAAAAATCTTTTAAGGAGTTTCCGTATTACTTAATTAAGTTGGTGCATTAATATGAAATATTTTCGAATTCCATATAAAATCATCTAAGCTAAGATTTAGATAAAAGATTTGAGATTTAAAAAGGCATTTGTGGAGAATTACGTAAATGTGTATTGACTGAACACGATCACATCCTCCTGTTTTATTGGTCTGAACTTACATTTCCTTTTTTTTTGCAGAATATTACTAGCTCAAATTTGAAATGAATACTACAGCTTTTCGCTTATTGACAGTTTCCAGGATAGTGCCCGATTTTCGGGCCAGTATTCTTTCAAGAAAGAAAAGTTTTTATTCTACTGCTGCTGGAAGGTTAGCAAAGTTAAGATAATAAATAAAGGCATCCTCATATGGTCGGTTAAATGAAATGATGAATTTCCGAAGATTTAAGAAGCTTTATTTTTCAGTTCCTGCCATGTTTATTTGTCAAGATCGAACTTTGTTTCTTCAGCACAACATCGGAGTTCGATGTTGCTGTGGTGGGTGGTGGAATTGTTGGTTGCGCTACCGCACGACAGTTAAAAATTAAAAATCCGGAATTGAAAGTAACGTTGCTAGAAAAAGAGGATCATGTAGGTAAGTACTGTGCACGGAAATCCTGTCCGGTAAATGCCAACCGCCGGAAGAAGTTCCGCTTTCTGTGATTCAAAAGATATTGTTAATTTCGTGAGTGATTAACTAGAAATAAATTATTAGAATTGATGAAAGATATAATCAGGAAGACATAGTCGACATTTGGTACGGAATTTCGAATGAGAATATTAATTTAAAAAATTTAATTTCCTGATAGGGATGCTTTCAATAATATTCGAAGAGGCAACATTTGGGATTTTGTGAAGGAAAGTAACAAAATAATAATATACAATCAATATTCAAAAATAGAGTGATAAGAGGGAGTGGAACAAAAGTTAGGTGAGAATATCGAATTAGAATAAAATTAAGAATGTATTAAAATCAAATTAATAAAAGTAATATCAAATTTTGCCATCTTTATTAATAACGGTTTGTTGAAAATGAGATATTTGTTATATATAATTTTTTAATAATTTTTTGCAGCATTTCACCAAAGTGGTCACAACAGCGGTGTCCTTCACGCTGGAATCTATTATGCCCCGGGTAGCTTGAAAGCAAAACTTTGTGTTCGTGGTAAGTTTTATTACCTGATCTAAAGTCAGCAAGTCTATATGAAATCATTTTTTGGTGTGACTTGCTTTGAAATTCGAGAAGCTTTTTCTACATGTTGATACAAACATTTTAGCTTATATGTGTCTTCGTAATAATACTTAGAATGAAGTTTGATCGGGCTTTTTATAAATTGCGCAGATTTACCTCGTGAGCAGCATGAAACATGTCCATATATGGAAAATCAATATTTGGAATTACATATAACGATGAGAATTGAAAACATTTATATTTCTTTATTTTTATTTTTTTGCTTACAAACCGCGTTCGTATAATTCGTCGAAATTTCAAAAATTCGCCGAAACTATAATTGCAGGTATCGATTTGGCATATGAATACTGTGACGAATATAAAGTGCCTTATAAAAGAATTGGAAAGTTAATTGTCGCGGTGGAGCCAGTCGAAATACAACGTCTAGAAGTAAGGCCTTTTTTAATATCTCGTAGTATTTTAATGTCTAATTTTTTAGTATCCATTTCATTTTTATTTCTGTTAAATGAATAACTGCTTATGATGAAGCTCAATGAGAATTATCAACCCAGATATGTTATTTTCAGTCAGAAGGACTAATAATTATTAATAAAGTAAGCTACAGTGCTTTCTCTATTCCTTACTCATATATCTGAAGTATTAACACAGTACTGTGTTTTCTTTTTAATAAAATCTGGGATTCACTCTTTTATCGATTTAATAAATATTCTTTTAGAATTTATTTGAACGAGCTCAAAAAAATGGATGCAAATCAATAAAAATGATTGATGGCAGCGAAATCAAAAACTATGCCCCCTTTTGCAGGGTAATTCATAATATTTTTCAAATGTTTTAATAGAAGCATAATTTGCTTGGCTTATACTTTTGAAGTTTTATTGCTGAGCTTTAAAGCTAAAACAGATCTAAGCGTTGAGGAGATAGCTTCTTTCGTTTAGGGTTTCGTTTTGTACTGCAGTTAAACGCATTATTTTGACAATCTAATAGATGTTATAAAATTATTGTTTGATTTTTAAATCTTAAAAACATCTTTTCTTCGGTAGCTCCATCTTTCAACTATTATATTAAAATGATCCATTATACTATTTTACTATCGCTTGATGGTATTCTACAATGATAACTTCAAAGCGATGTTAAGAAGACTTTAACTTAAAAAAAAAAAAAAAAACATTCAATATATGATGCCCATTGATGAGCGATATATCTAAATTCGTGTTTCACGAATTTAGGTAGCGCTTATCAACAATTTTATCAACAAGCTATATTCTAATCAAAAACAATTTTACCACACTCCATATTCAGGGTCTGAAGGCACTGTGGTCTCCATATACAGGTATTGTTGATTGGGGATTAGTTACAAAATCGTACGCACAAGATTTCGAAAATCGTGGTGGTATTGTATATACGAAATATCCATTGAAAACGTTATTGCTTGTTGGCGAATCAGAAAAAGAGAACGTCGCGAATGATTATCCTGTTATTATCGAATCAGAACCGTCTTTAGTAACTCTTGTTTATTTCTTTTCTTCGTTTCTCTACACACTACTACCTATCTGTTATATGTCTTCATTAAAGATGAATTCAGAAGTTAAATGAGATGATGTTTATGATGATAGTGGTAAACTGAAATTTTTCTGTAGAAATACTTAAATTTTTTGCAGTCAACTCATTCGTATTAGACAACATAGAATATCTGTTAAACTTGAATTATGCCATATTTTGTTTGTGCATGCTTTTTAATAGATAAAGTCGAAAATTGAGTGAGTTGATGTTCTTATTTTTTTTTGAAATTTGATTCATTTCCATTTTTACTCATGTAGATAAATTGCAGTCAAAAATTCGATGTAAATATGTGATAACATGCTGTGGATTGCAATCAGATCGTGTTGCCAAACTTTCGCGTGGTTCACCAGATCCGAAAATTATCCCTTTCCGTGGTGAATATCTTTTGTTAACATCAGAAGAGAAAAAGAAAGCTGTAACAACAAATGTTTATCCTGTAAGTTCTCTTTTTAAGCTTATGATTTTTTCTACTGATAAGATCGTGTTTTTTACTTACATCCAAGCATTAGTTTAAAGTAATTCAGTATTGATTTTTTCTTTTGGTTAATTTGATACTCGTAATTGGATTCATAATTGCCTATTTATTTCTTCTCATATGACTAGAAATTTATTATGACTTAGGCAATTAGAATTTTCAATTGGTTAGGAATTTTCAGGTACCAGATCCACGCCTCCCTTTTCTTGGTGTCCATTTCACGCCACGTATGAATGGAGGTTTGGTATTTAAATCATTTGTATTCCAAGTAAAGTGGAGGTTATATAAAGCCAAACTTTAAAAAAAAAATCATTATTTTTGATCTTATCTATTAAAAGGCGTTTATACATAAGCGAAATATGGCAAAATATCAAGTTTAACAGATAGTCAACGGTGTGTGAATAAATTGACTGTGGAAATTCAGTGAGATTGTGAGCGTATAGTTTTAAATTTAGATATATTGTTTTATTTTGCTCTGTAAACTTGCTCTTCATTTCATTTCTTTATTCATTTGTCTTTACATTTTCGTCTTTATATTTTCAATTTTCCAAGATTGTTTGAATATTCAGTATCAGATGTAATGGAGCATTTGCTTTCTACTTTGTTCTCAGCCATTCAATTATTGTTGCAAATTCACTTGTGAGTAGCAATGGAAAAAGAATTTATAATGGCAAATTATTTTCAGATGTTTGGTTGGGACCGAATGCAGTTTTAGCGTACAAAAGAGAGGGATATAAATACTCTCAAATTTCACTACCTGATTTGTATGATGCCTTAACTTACAGGTGATTGGATTAGCACCTACTTTGTACATCAGAAGTTCTAATATTTAGGAAATATATATCGAAGTGCAAATAACCTGAAATTGTATTTACAGAGGTATGAGAAAACTCATTTTCAAGTTTTTTGGTTATGGAATGAAAGAATTATATCGTGGGATTTGGATCAGAGCACAAGTGAAACAGTTGCAAAAATTTATGCCTGATTTGAGAATATCGGACGTCGCACGGTGAGATTTTTCTCCGATTTATCTTTTCATTTATCCGTGTTATAGGTATAAAGTTGATCAATGGAAGGGTTTAGAAAATAGGTGTCGTTTTCTAATATATTATCACCATTATCTCGATTATGATAGTTAATTTGATCTTTTTTTATTGTAAGAAGTTAAAAAATGATTACTTCTATCGTTCCACTACTAAGTCACATATTTTTTGTGAGATCAATTTCTGTTGAATCATTTTGAGGATAGCCTTTTCATGATGATCTTGATTGCGATATTATTCTGTGCAATTATCACTTATGTTGACATTATATTTCGTCTAATTCATTTTCATCAAGCAATTGACAATATTTGTTAACTCATTGTGTATAGCGATGTTTTATAGTGGCCCGGCTGGAGTTCGAGCTCAGGCTATTGACCCAGATGGTAATTTGATTGATGATTTTATTTTCGATTGTGGTCAAGGAGAATTGAGCCATTGTGTATTGCATGTGCGAAATGCACCTAGTCCAGGTGCTACAAGTAGTTTAGCTATTGCAGAAATGATTTGTGAAAAAGCATCCACCGTGTTCGATCTCAAGCATTAGCTTCAAGCTGTCAACTGTGAAGATTTATTTTCGAAGAAGAAGATTTATTTTCGAAATGGACTTTTTTTTCATTAAATTTTCGACTTATATTTATCTTGCTACCTCGGTTATTATTCTAGGTTTACATAGAATCATTTTGCAAAAGGAGTTTACCTGTAACTTCTAAAAATTTGTTGAAAGATTTTTTTGATATAGTCATAATTTTGGCTAATTTGGTCATAATTTTCGTATCATACTGTACTGCAATCTTTGCAGTACTTTAGAGTTTGAAAATTCGGTGAGGCTCAAATATTCTATTGCAATTTGTAGAATTTCAATTATTTTCTTATCGCTGTAGACAACTGTCATACATTGAACAATGTAATGTAATGTAATTCATAATTCGTATTACTAGTATCGTTATGAAAGATCAGTAGAATGTTGTAGTCAGTATATTGAGGTGTGTTTATTCAAGCTTTTTAATTTTCTGGGCTGTCTAAAATTTAAAATTTTATTTTCTGTATTCATTCTTTATGATTTTGCTTCATTTTCAAATAATCTTGCCCAGTGCTTTTAAGATTGCTGGTTTTCTATATCAATTTATTAGCTATTATTTATTTTCTAGATTACTGTAGATTATCAGTAGATTATAATTGTTTGCTCATATAGGCTATCTGTCAAGTACTTCGCTCCCTTTTGCTCGTTTAATGCTTTAATTCAATTTTCAGTTTGTAAATGTATTTTTGTTTTAACTTTAAAATATTTTTATTTCATTATGTTTCTATTTTTAATACTCTTTTCTAAATAATTAGATGAAAATTGATTATTATATTTTATCTTACCTGAAAAGTTGTACTATGTAGGATTTTTAATACGATGAGTGCAATAAAAATTGCCTTTGTGCAAAATGATTCTGAAGAGTATTGAAACAATATGTGTTGAAGTTTTAAATAAATCGTGAAAAGTTACAATCAACTGAAATTATTAAATAGCTGGCAGATCCATATCGAAGTGTAGATGATGTCGACAGTCATTTAAAAATAAGATCCAGTTATACTTTGATGTTTTTAAACTTCGGTATTTTCCCTCAAATTCTGTACGGAATATTTGTTCGCTAAATGCTTTGAGCATCTCGTCAATTTAAAAGTATGATAGACATTAAAGAAACTGTTTTCTGGTGCTAAAAGACTAAAATATTTTTAACTTCATATCAATGGCTTCGAAAATTTGAAAGATTCGTCAGAGTAACGTCATCAGATTTGGAAGAACCAGATGGTAGCTGAGGATTTTAATTTTTTTAAGGGTTTCAAAAAAATGAAACGTTCCACAATATAAAGTTTTGAAAGAACTAATATGAAATTGGAAAATTTATTTGATATGAATTATAGCCATATTTTATCTGCTATCAATTCCACGACGCAAATTTAACGGCACGTTCCGGTACTCTTGAAAACTGGAATATTATCAACTCAGGATTTTTTAAATTCTATACGAACATAACAGAATACTTCATAGGAGAATTCTTGCTTTTGCAATTGGTTTATTTATTTAATTCTTTTGTGATGGAAATACCAAACTATGAATTTAATTGAGCTTAATTAAGTTGAATTGACATGAATTGAAATAGAATTAATTTAGATGACAGGAAAAATTCAGGTTTTATTTAAAAGATATCAATTAAATATGCAACGAATTCAAACAAATTGAACTGGATTGGCTTAAAATGATTGAATCAGATTTGCTTAAACGATTTTAATCAAAACATTGACAAATGTTAGAATCAAATTTTGGAATAAAATATCTAACTAGGCTAATCTCTAGAATATCTGCCTTACAATTTGTACAACATTTCTAATATAATTTCCATTTTTGTTCATTTTAGCTCACAAAAAATTACTTCCTCTAGATGAATCAAAATTGATCAATTTATAATGAAATTGAGATTTCCATAGCGAAATAATGCAATCAGCTAAAAACAAAAATCTTGAATAAGTTTTTAAAAAGCATCACAAGTATTGAAATGCTTCGTTTCATTTATTAATTAATTAATGAGTAGCACAAAATAGTAAAGATGAAAGGGACAGTTTTTAGATTCTCGATGCTAAATAGTAGAGATTCCAAATATTTAATCTGAGACATTTAATGAATTGTGAAAATTGATAATCGTATGGTATAATAATATATACTAATATCATAACACTCTTTGATATGCTCGCTAAGGGCAAAGGTTAGAAGTAGCTGTAGATCCCCATTGTCTCTTTGAAATCGATCATCGTTTTTTTTTTTTTTTTTTTTGTACGATTACAGATCGAACATCGCTTTCATCATTATCATTCTTGATCAGGCTTATAATAGCAGCTGCTAATTGCTCCGTTCATTTAATTCATCAACATTACTTCACTCTTTTCAAACAAATTAACGAAATATTTTTTTGTTACTTTAACTGTTTATATCAAATTTCTTTTTTTATGAGAAACTATTTCAATCCTTAATAGGTAAGGAATGTATATGGAGAAAGATCTCGTTAAATTTATTACAATTCTTCAAGTTTTAATAATATTTCAAAATCAAAATAATTTTTAATTTGAATAAAAATTGATGAAACAAGAGATGGCAGACATTCAAGGAACACCAACAACCCACACAATTAATGGCAGCAATTTGAAAAGAATTGGATTTATATCGTGAAAACTGGTTATCACGAGACCAGTGTAAGTATTCTATTTTTTTTTTAATTATTAAATTTAGGAAAAAAAAATTGAAGGTCCATAAAACCATTATTTTAATGTTATAAAAATATGACTATAGGTTAATAAGGATTGATCATATGGTTATTATTTCATAACTGTTTGTTAAACCATCACAATCACTTACTTATTTCGTTTTGCAAAATATGAAAAAGTAAATGAAAGGAACATTAAGTTGCGGAGAAATCGCTGAGTTTACTTTCAAATATTTTTATGTCTTTGAAGTAAATATGTGTTTTGTAAAATTTAGTGATAAATGTTTATAAGTATTCGAAAATATCGAATATATGAATACTTACATAAGCATTTGAAAATATGATGAATTTTGCTTTTCTAATAATCGATGTATAATCAAATTGAGAAAAATGAATTTTGCTAATATCTGAATGAATCCATGCAAAATATCAATTTAAGGGCAATAATTTTAAAGTGGAAATAACTTTAAATTAAATTGACGAAGATTTTTTAATAGAAGAAATAAGTAGTTTAGGCTGAACTGTATATTGTATAGTCTCATAAAGAAGGTATATGATAGTTGTAAATTTTTTGCATAATGGTACGACTAATTAGAATAGCATTTATGACGTGATACAATTGACGTTCAGTCTTACATTTAGTATGCAACGTGACAGGTTCGTTACATCTAATCAAATTTCATCAAATCACGTCATACATGTCCGATAAAGTTTGTTGTAGTAAAGAAAGATAGGAAAAAACTCTCAATAATCTCTTCAATATTCGATGCACATGACAAAATGAGCAAAAGTGATAAAATCATAGAAAAAAAAGAACGAATATGAAATAAAAGAAAGAATTGAATTGGCCATTTTTCAGCATTAATTCTTCTCTCTTTTCTCCAAATGGCCAAATGTTGGCCTATTATAATTGAACATTAAGGAAAAAAAATCTTTCAATAATCTCATTTAAAAGTTTAATTGGATAAAATTTGCTGCTTGCATTCCGTTTTATGCTACTAAATAATTTTACTAATTTCTTGACAGTCAAAATGGTTGAAATAAGAATTACTAACTGTATTGAAAGAGTTGAAATGAGAATTACTCGTTTGTATTGAAGGTGAAAAGGGGAAAATTTCTGACTGCTGTTCCTCCTACTTCTCAATATTTTCTTCTTCATTTTTATTTTTCAGTTGTTTTATGTTCTATGTATTATTTATTACAAGTATGTTTGCCAACATCAAACTGCGAACAGCATTTCATCTTTAAATTTTACATTTTATATCCTTTCTTTTTACGTCCAAAAAGTTAAACAAATTTGATGTTGGTTCCAATTGATGTTTTCAGGTCGTAGCATCATCCTGTCTCGATAGAAATAATCTCATTTATTGGTATTGTTAGGCTAATTTTTTTATTAAAATTACACAATGCTTTACTCGTATAAGTTAATAAAATATCTCTTTATTCCATCGATTGCTTTTGTTATCGTCATTATGGGAACTGATCAGATGAGGAGGATTGTGCATTTATATTTTTCGATTCAGTAATTATTCAATTGAACTAAATAATACTACTATATTTCGTCCACACAAAAATCACTTTTCACTTCTTTTGATATCTAACATCAGCATTTCATTATTCTCTCTCTCCTCTTCTCTTTTTTCATGAAATTTAAATATATATAACATGATTCAAATGAAATCATTTGAATGAATTTATTTTAAAATCATCTACAGCACCATTGTAAGTGATAATTTTAATTTACAGTTAATGTTTTTAATTTTTTTTTAGCAACTATTTTAAATTGTTCATAATTTCAGTAACTACTGTAACTAAATAAATTTAATTTTTCAGTTATAGCAATCAGAAAGGATATTAGATCTAATTTATTAAACTGATAGAGAGGTTGGACATTCGAAATCTTGAAGTATAAATGTATCATCGAGGTTTTTAGTGTGATTATATCGAAAAAAAAGAAAAAAAAACGTGATCAGAAGCCAAAACCATATCAGGCCTATCTGTTTCAAATAATCTCCGCTAAAATATTTGCCTCATTCATGCATTACACGTCGATTGTGATCATTTGCATAAAAAGTAGGTTTGAGCCATGAGATGTATCTATCCTGTTATCTAGCATACAATCAACAAAAGCTTGTCCCAATTCAAGGTCTAATTTTAAGGTCAATAACCTACAGAGCCACATGAACAGTAGATCTTTTAATGTTCTGATTAGTTTAGAATTTTCTTTTTCATCTATCGTTAAATTTCAAATTCCATTTTTCAGTTCCATTTGAAATGTTCACATTTTTATTCGTAAATAATATTCTCTTATGTCAATTTCACAAATACTATTCTGAGTTATTAAATTCAATACATGTGCTAATAATAGAAGGCCTGGGACGAGCACAATACAAAAACACCGCGATGAGATGAGATAGAAGCAAGAAAGGAAGAAAAAAAAAAACGAGGACAACTGCAATTTTTATAATTTCTCACAAACGACACAATAGATTATTGACCTGTTATTACCTGTACACATCATAGTATAATAAGTAGTGCTCAAGAAAATCAAACTTTTCTTTTCGTCACTTTGTCATTTCTCGTATAAAATATATCGAGAATTTAAATCAAAATATTTCATATCTATAGACAATTAATTATAATTGAGTGCAGCTTTCATATTTGAATGCATTTCTTTCATTTTTTTTTTCTTACAAACCTGTTTATTATTGTAATCAAGTTTTCAAACGTCATCGATGTCATGGAAATTAATAATTTTTAATTCTTGCAAGTTTTAGTTATTGCCAGTAACTAGTCGAATGAATTTATAAATGCAATGTTATCATCACATTCAGATTCATCTACTGAAACATATACTGTATCTGGTAGTTCCTCTACCTGTGGTAAGGTTTTAACTTTGGTCTTTTTTTTCTTGTTGATTTCACTTATACTGTGTGGAAATAGGATTTCCTCTTGAAACATTTGCATCTGATATTCGAGGATGTAAATACTAATACTTACATATGTAAAAATTATCATATGGATGCTTTTTTTTTAAAAAAAAAAAACTTTTAACAAGTGTTTGCAAAAGAAAGTGACGAAGAAATGGATAAGAACACTTTGGAAAAGTCAACTGAAGTGGAAAAAGCTAATGATGGCAATGAATCCAACAGTGGTGCTAATTCATCGGATGAAAATGTAAACTTTACTTGATTTTTTCTTAATTAATTAAACTTATAGTTTCGTAATTTTCCATTTAGATAGAATGTGGTTACTGATAATTGATGTGATGATTTAAAGAAGAGAAAAAATGAGCAAAATGACAGTATTTAGCATGTGAAACTAAGAATGGTGTAAGAATAAGTGTGGGAGTTACTGACCTGTGATTAGAAATTACTGGTCAGATTTAGAAAATGTAAAATTCGTCAAATACAGTTTAGGAAAAAAATGAAACTGACTAATGCTCGAGTTTAAAAAACGAAACTGCTTGAATGATACTTGAAGCCTGCACGTAATTTCATTTGCTCAAAATAGTATAATTTAAGATTACTTTCGGATACGAATGATGAATCCTCTTTTCTCGAAAACAATCATTTAGTTTCGTGAAAACACTTTTCTCTCCTTACCTTTTTTTCTGAATTTTTTTTTACCAGTTTCTATCCATATCTATTAAAAAATGTTATTTAAATATTATCATTTGATTATGTTTTTTTAGTGAAGAATATTATTGAATAAAAAATTGCTTTACTTAGTTTATTTTGGTTATATCGCTTATGTAATTTACTTTAATCCCATCTATTCCGACGCTTTCCACTTTTTTTTTTCACAAGTGAAGACCATTGAAGCCTTAACAAGTGATGGACAAAAAGGAACAGTATGAGATCAAGATATTACTCTGAATGTACTGAGAACGATTAGCCTTTTTGCTATTCACTAATTTTTAGTATATAATTAAAATTATTCAAATACAATACTATATTCTGCTTATTCGTTTCATTGGTACTACAAAAATCCATCCATTTTTCGGCAGTTTATTTATTATTCATTAGAAACTTTAGATATTATTCATTTCATTTTAGTTACTTCGTATAGCAATTTTTATTAATTAATTTTACTGTATAATTATACGGAGCAGAAATCGATTCCTCCAATCTTTCTTTTTTTTTTTGCAGGAAATCATAATTCCAGAAATGACAATAATAACTGAGGAAAACTTACCACAAATTCCCACAAACAGGACAATTGAACTGAATGAGGTAGTTGATCTGCCAAGCAGGCAGAATCAGAATTCTCCTGAATCAGGCAAACAAACTGAATTTGATACCGTTTCTGAAGCATGTAATCAAGATAATTCAAGGGAGGCATCAAATGCAGTAATTTGCGAGAAATCTGCTACCAATAATTCTGCTTCTACAATGATTTCTGAATCGCTTTCCTGTGAAATTCCATCTGAACAGACATTATCTAAATCTTTTTCTAAAGTTTCAAATGAAACCACTTCTGATCAATTAGATTACACAAACATCTCAAACGATACTTTAATTCAATCTTCTTCTGCTGAGACTCTTCAAACTGAACTAATTCACAATCCTTCGCAGAATATTGAACCAAAATCACCGATAATAACTACACAACCATTTACCTCCGTAATTACTGCAAAAAGTGCAGCGTTTCAGGAAGAAGAAGTTAAAGACACTTCTTCATCTGTCATTGAGGATACAAATAGTTTAGTTTCAGAAAATAATACCAAAAATTTTCCTATAAAAGCCAATACTACTCCTGTAAGCACTGAACTTGCAATTAACGCTAACATAAGTGAAGTTCAACAACTTCTGCAGCACCAATCACTTCCTCCGATGACCATCTCAGAATCATCCAAAACATCACCAACTTCATCTGAAACTTCAGAATTTGAATTAGCGCAAACTTGTGCAACAATACCTGAATCATTGGATAATCTTCAAACAAAAACATCGATTCCAAGCAAAAACTCTGCCGCAATTAATTTTGAAGTTAGTTCGATTGTTTCTAAATTTGTTCGAAATGCAATTATCCGAAAATGATTTACTTTTGAATCACTTTGAATAAGTGAAAGAGAATTGATAATATACTCTTTTTTTTTTTGAACATATAAAATATACTCCTTTTTTTCAAAAAGTACTTCCGAACAGTGGTTAATAGATTCTTTTGAATGTAGGAATAGTAACAACAATTAGAAAAGTAATTGGAAATTGAAAAAAAAAAGTTTTAAGACAAATGAAGAAAGAGCAGAGATCGATGAATATTATAAAGGGCCATATTGCAATGTATTATATTTGATGTTAGCAGTGAATAATGATGATAAAAGAAGAATAATTTAGAAGAGAGAGAGAGAGAGAGAGAGAATGATTGATGAAAATACAATAGTGATGGAGAGGATATACAACACAATCGTTTTATAAATATGAAATTTAGGCTATAATCCATAAAATTTTCGTTCATTTATTCATTCATTCATTCATGGGAATTTGTGAATCGCGTAGAAGCCGTCGACGGGTTGCTTTTTTTTTCTCGTTTTTCCAATTAAAATTCCATAAACGATTAAATTTAAAAAAAAAAAAATTTGCTTTATTTTTTATTTTTTTAAAATTGAAGTCCAAAGATGAAATATATATATGCGTGCTGAATATATGAAAAGATAATGGATATTTGATTCGTTCATTTTACTTATTCGAATGAGTTTTAAAAAGCAGAAAATTTGTTTAAAAACAAAATGGTAAGCAATGTAACAAATGAATGAAGCGAAACACATGCGATTTATAAGCATACAATGCAGCTAATCCGAGAATTCTTATAGTCATTTGAAATCCATCCAGAACATGATCTTATCATCCTTATCATTTGCGCCATCCCCTAACAGTCAGTTGATATTATTACCTTTCCGGCTATTTAGTTACTACAGCGAAAAGAGATTTTGATGTGTGTTCATTTGCCTACGGTGAGGGAATTTGAGCAGAGGTGAAAGAATGGAATTTACCGGTGATAAGTGATAAGCGGTCGGAGTGAGATTGCATTACTGTTAGTGATATAATTGTGTAAGATTTCGAATTCTTTTCAATGCTTGGTGTTATAGTGTTTTAATTATGACAATTAAAATGTGATAATTATCATTGCTGTAAAAAAAAGTTGACATTTTAATGTATAACAATAGCATGAATGATAGTTGTAATTGTGATTGTGATTTATATGTATTTCTTATTTGTGTTGCCAAAGATAAATTAATAGTTCTGCGTGGTTCTTTTTTTTTTTCGAAATTTGCAACTTATGATTTATGTAGAATTTTTCGTAGTTTACTTTTGAGTTCAAAATTTGACAAAGTTTAAATCCATTATTTACATTTCTGTTTCAGGTGATTCCCGGTGGCATAGGAGCGGGAACACCGGAAATTCCAAAATTTGTGGATCCTAATGTTATGGAAAAAGATAATAGTAGAAGTATGTTTCTTCAAATCTATTTTTTTTTTTTTAAGTGAATTTCTTTTGCTATTGGATTATGTGATAGACTGCTAGATTTTTATTTTTACACAGTGGACAGAAATAGGAATTGTTTTGAGAAGGAGATGGATTGAACGAAATTTATGAGTATATATTAAGAAATATATGAGTTTATAAGTAATTAGAAATGGAACTTACTTCATCTCAATGAGCCATATTGAACTGTCACTTGTATTTAGTTATACGAGTTACCAATATATACATCATAATAATCTACCGATGGAACATCTTTGATGATTCTAAGGAAGGAAAAAAGTAAAATTTTTCAAGTGAACATTTTCTTTAAGATGCTAATCTTATTTAGCATCTTAAAGACACCTATGCATCTAAGAGTGTTATTACACGTATGCATTTAAAGGTGTTTTTTTTTTTTAAAAAAAAAAATTATGTGAGAGTTTAAAAAAAAAGAAATCATTTTTAGCAGCAAGGAAAAATTATCAACAAATTAGTTGATATGAAGAAAAAAAAAATTTTTCTGTAGCTTTTTGTCAATCTAAAAACGTAACATTAGTTAGTGAATCTGTGCTACAGTTATCACAACTGCTGTGAAAGAAAAAAAAAGCAGTTCTACTTGCAAAAAACAGTTATCACTCTAAAACAAAGAGTTACTAAATTGAATCAAGCCTGATCGTTATAAGCAGCTTTAAAAGATGTATATGCATATATATACATCATAATAATCTACCGATGGAACATCTTTGATGATTCTAAGGAAGGAAAAAAGTAAAGAAAAAAAAAAGGGCTTGGGTAGGATTGTATGGAGTGAAAGGTCTTAGTATGCTTAGTACGCTGATAATGTAAAGAAATATTACGTAGTTTTCAATTTTAATTACTCAATTATAAGAAGAGTTAATTTGAAATCAACAAATATCTATCTGATTTTATGGGAAATGTTTGTAGGAATCTATTTTCTGTTCTTTTTGTTCTTCGCACTTCTTACATGTACTGCATTGTTCCTCATTTGGAATGCAGAGAAAAGTCTCTAGAACTAAATTTCGTTATATTGAGTCTTCGAATACATATGATTAAATTACTTATGAAATGAATCCTCGAATATATGATCAAATTGCCCGTGGTTCCATGATTTCAAAAAAAAGAAATGTTAGGGAAATTTCTGCTGCTTTTTACTGTTTTTTCGAAATTAGTGGCCTTTCATAATATATTTTCACTTAAGTAATGTCTACCTATTAACAGTAAAACAGTGAAAAAAAAAACAGTAAAAGAAGGGGAAATAGTCATAGATGTCAAGCGGTATTTAAAGCTTAGTTCAATGTAAATATCTCGAATAAGTAGTTAATTCAAGGATTACTTCGGATTTTTTTAATTCATTATGTTTCCAATATTGCTGATTATCCTTGATAACTTATCTTTTTTACTTTCGGACTATTAACTTAATGAAATGTCCTGAAAAAAGGAGACCAAAGCAGTTGTTTTTTTCATTGTTTCGATATGAAACGATATGAGTGAGTAAGCAAGAAGAGAGTGATTAGTATATTTTTAAATGATAGAAAGATGGAATGAAACATAACAGCGAAAGTATAAGAAACAATACAAAACAGCTGTTTTTCAGATTAATCACTGACAGAAGGAAAGACTGAACTAATTCAACTTACGATGGCTTTATTTTTATCATCATTAGTTATCAGTTCTTATCGATTATTTTCTCACTTTCAAATCATGCTTTCTGTTTTTGAAAAATCTCGGTCTTTCGGAATATTTAGAAAAAAACTTGCAGAAAACGTTGCAAAGACTTTTGGATATGTTTGGACATGTTTTTCTGTGCTATTTTGAATATAACATAGTATATCTGGTTTATTTCTAAATCCATGATAATTTAATAGCGACATGTTTATCACTGTAGTTCCTTTGACACATATTTTTTATTTCAGCATGAATTAAGAAAAAAAATTATGGTTTTTGTTAAAGAGAAAAAATTTTTGCTATTCCGTAAAATCAAATAAAACGGTTTGAGATGAATTATATGCTGAAGTGGTTGTAATAAATGATGATGATGATGATGATGATGATGAGCGAAGAAGGGCAGAGAGTATGAATGGTTTTTCAATACACCATTCTCTGCTTTGTTATATGGTAACAAATATAGTCTGATCATGCCAAACTATGTCATGATTATGGTTCAATGTTGATGAATTTCGACTTGGAGCTACTTTTCATATAAAACTTTTCCTTGACTCTCTTTCTATTTTTTTTTCTTTCTATGATAGCTTATTTAGAAATTTTTCATTTTCCACATTCTATCATTAGTGCTTGATATACAGCAATTTATATCGGAGAAAATTAGGCAGTTACAATGGTTGTTTATTTATTCGAGTTTTATTTTAGTTCTAATTAAACTTATCATTTTTTATGAACAATGCTTGTATGATTATGCGATATATTTTCGCATTATAGCATCATTTCGATATTTTCGAGATTTAAACATTTATTTGTGCTATTTCATTATGCAGCGAGACTTTTCTGCTGTATAATCGCATTACGGCGCTTTGCATCACATGTAGCTAAAACATTAACAAACTAAAATAAAATGGAATAAGAAGAAAGTAGAGAATAATTGAACTCTATTCTTGAGAAAGCTAATATCCAGTTTCAAAGTAATATTAACTTCCTATAGCTCTGGTCACTTATATATATACATATATATATATGCTCGATATACGCAAATATGCACATTGACACAGTCTGTTATATTAACTATAATATTGTTGTATGTATATTTAAACGTTGCATTATCATTTATGCATAAATTTGATCTGTCTTATATTTACTGAACGACTGAAAATGCCATCATTAACTGCGTCAGCTGTAGTTTCTGTTATGAAATTATTTGGCAAAAAGAAAAAAGAATGTAAGTTTGAAATTAATGGTTGTCAGTTGTATCAAGTAATTCTCAATTTTTTTTTTCGAAATTTTAATTTATCTATCGCTATGATAATGAATTCATCTTAATTGTTCTATTTTAAATTGCTAGATTAATCTGGACTTTTCTTTCATCAGTTGATAACTATAAGATAGATATTTGAATGATTTAGAGTTATTGCAGAATAGTATTGAACGAAGAAAGGGTAACTTTTTGGTACTGTTTATTAAACTGATATAGAAATTTTTCGGGATTAAATAAAAGCTTAATAAAGCTAAGCAGAAAATTATCAATATGCGTCAGAGTGAAATATCTTTGTTTGGTGCCATACAATTAGTTTGTCTTAATCAAGAGTTGTGATATGATCAATATCTTTGATTAGTTGCTTGTTGGCGGTAAGAAGACACTAAATTTAAAATGAAACCTTTTTGATCTTGCTTTAATTTTTTTATTTTATTTCTTTCTCTTTTATGACTGATAAATAATTCCATGACCAGTCGGGAATCTGTTGTTAGGAATTTCAAAAAAATTAATAAAAACTAATTGATTTAAATTTCTGACAAGAAAAGATTTTTAATTTTTGCTAACAATAACAAATTCATAAAAGTCCAATTTTCTTTCAGATGAAATAGTTTCGAAAGAGCAGCAACCCAACGAAACGGTTGAAGTGAATTCGATGACAGGAAGTGAAGTGAAAAAAGTGGAAGGCACAGAAGTAGCATCGGACACGGTTCTCGAAGAAAGGCAGAATTCTGTCGGGGAGACGTCATATAAAGTGGATAAAGCTAAACCAGCAACAATGCAGTTTGAAACTCCTCGTAAGCCAGCACCAAGGTTGGTTCAAATTTTTATGAGAAATCTAGGAAAATTATTGATCAAATGAGTTTTTTTTATTTATAACTTATATATTTAAGAAATACTCTTTGCAGTTTAGATTTTGCTGGATAAGATATTCAAGCAAATATTTTTTGGGATTTGTAAATCGGAAAATGTCAATATTTTGTCCATTTGTGTTTTTTCTGTTGGTTTGAATTCAGTGTTTCTATTTGAATTTGGATTCAAATAGACAGTGTAACAAATGTCCATTTACCACTGCTATTTTTCAACATCATAAGTCAAGCTTTTATGCAGAATCAAAAAATTCGTGCTATTTTACAGATAGTGATAGAAGTAAAATGTATTTTTGTAACTAATATGAAAAAAGATAACTTAGAACTGTGCTCGAGGATAGAATACAAGATATGAATGATTTAGGAATTTGTCACAAATATTTTTTCAATATTAAAGATGAAGTCTGGATTAAGCAAGATTGTGAATGTTTTAAAGAATTTTGAAAGTAGAAATCGAATATTCAATGTATTACATTATAAATTACATTCTGATTGAGCTTTTTGATGAAACTTCTCACTCTTCTCATTCTCCTTCCTACGTATGTTTTCGTTTCTTTGTTTTGCTACATTTTGCAAATTTGTTAGTGGGAGGCATTGTGCTATATATTTCTTTACCTATTACCAATTACTTCGCTCTTTTTGTCTAGTCTCTAGCAATATTTAGCCATATTTATCTAGCCATATATTTATCTGTCTGACCGATAATTTGTTTATCGGTATTTGACATTTCCAGTTAGCAGTTCTTTATAGCTATTTCCAGCTGTCTTGTTTGTGGGAAGGTTGGCATATTTGGGTTCCTAGGAAAAATATCTTTTAGAAAGTTAAATAAAGTTTAACAGGACAGTGTTGCTGTTTAGATTGTGCAGCTTTAAAAATTATCCAACTTTAAAAAAGAAAATTTATCTTTTTAATTCTTGGGACTTTGTTAAGTGATCTATGTTGTGCATTACATAACCACATTGTGATAGTTTTTCTTTTTTTTCTTATCACTTAGCGAAAATCTCAATTAGAAGGAGTCCAAATAACGGATGATCGTTTCTGGAAGGATTTCGTTACGAATTACCAGTGCTTTCGTGTTTTTACCAGACATTAATTATAAACTTGGTAGATAGTAATCATGTTTGGTTTGATTCCACTGAGACAAACAAACAGAGAATGATGTGCTCATTAGAATATATTGTTTGGAAACATCTGATGTGCTATGGAATTGACCAATGTTTATCGATAGTATCAATCTTTTTCTTCGTTCTTTTATCTCTTTCTTTCTCGGCATGTATGGCTTTATTCTTGTGCCTTTTAAACGCTTTGCAAACCCTGTTTCAAAAATTTTTTTTTAGTATCCTTATACTTTAACGTAAATAGAAAATTAACTCTCAGAATATGTATATGCTTTAATGCTCATGAATGATTTTCTAGATCTACTCAGTCATTATTTTAAAAATGTCATTTTCAGTCATGTCATTTATGAAATATTTTTAAAAGTTACTGATATTCATTTCAAATTTCGGTGAGAAATGATGCATAAACTGTGCATTGAACATTTTAAATTTGGCAGCATCATCGGATATAGTATTAGTAGTAATTTCTGAATAGGTGCAATAATACTTTATTTAGTTCATTCGAAATTAATGCAGACATTACAAAAATTGGAAGGAAAAGTGAAGTTAATGGTTTTAAGATTGCAAGGAATATGACACTGTCCGGTTAAACTTATAAGGTTATATCGGATTCATATTATGTAAGTCACTTTCTTTTGTTTTGCCATATCTGTGTTGAAGGAAAAAGAAAGAAATGGGCAAAAAAAATTAAAATTTGAGACAGTTTAAGTTTCAAATGGTATAAAAAAAAACGATTAGTGACAAGAACATAAAAATAGCCTGGCTTTGAATTGTAAATATTAGAGGTGATACTTCTTACTTTCCTTTTCATTCTCCCTTTCTGGTGTCCCTGAAGCTTATATGCTTACCTCATAGTGAATTATATTTTGTATATTTGAATGGAGGTGTAGTTTAGTCATTGAAATATATTTTCTAGAACAAGATTAAGGGACTTCATCGTAATCTTGGATATTGACAGCATTTAGGTTTTGCTTTTGCAATTTGTTTGCCTTTGCTTTTTTGTCTTTAGAACCCTCAAGATCAGTTCGTTCCCTCGATGCTTAAATATTACATCATAAATATAGAGCAAGTTTGAAAAGTAATTATATGTTTATCTTATAATGAATACTTAGAAAAAAAAATTAATACTTAGAAATTTTTTTTACAACTTAAATATCATACCTTTCCAAAAAATGCTACATAGATCATATGCTGAATGCGACAATTCATAAAATGTTTTAGAGTAGATAATTACATCATAGTGTCGAGTTCATTCTCCTTTCTTCGATTTAATGATGTGTGGTTTGATGAGAGTTGGCATCTACTTTCTCAAATTGTTCTCATTTCATTCCATATTTCTTAAGTGCTGTGACATTAATGGCAAATGCATACGCATCATTAAATTCTTTTTGCCTATTAAGTTCTAAAGATTTTGAAATTTTAGTATAAATTAGTTAGTTCAATTATTTTGATGTCATTTATTAAACTGTTTCTGTAAAGCAATAAGTAATTTTTGTCAGGTGGTAAAATGATGATTTGTTCAATTGGTTATTTTTCTGTTACTAATCTATGATATTGCTGATAACAGAGTTATCGTTTCTCTTTTTCGCGTTATATTTTTTGTTTTTCAAATTTATACCATTTATTAGTGAACATTTCTTTTTTCTTCAAATATTCGGAAATGATGTAGTAAATTGTTGTCTAGTTTCTCATGTCAGGTTTTTTAATTATAGCGTAGATTCACGGACAATTACACGTCCATCAAAAATACGAACTCAACAATTACCAGAAGCAACGGTCACGCCGTTTTCAAAAACTGAATCAGAATCTGCAACTGCAGATATGCTTACTGCTAATACTGGTAAGCTCTTTTGCTTTCCATTTTAATGCGAGCTAATGTTTTGAAAATGTAATATTATTTCTTCAGATGTTAAGTGCATTTGATTTATTGCTGCATTATAGTAACATCACTATATAATTCTAAAAGCCGGAATAGACGTTGATAATTTTGAAAAAATAGAATTTCGAGTTCAACAGTTACCACTTATTTTAATCCATATTAAATCATTTAGGAACACCTTAGCATTTCTAACATTTTTTTTTTTTGCTTTTTTGCAAGTTCTGTTGATCGCTTTAACAAATGTGATCATAAGATCAGTTCAATGCTGATAGTAGTCTTGTTTTTTTTTTTCCTGCATTTGAAAGATTCAAAGAAATTTTAGTTTTAGCACAAATTCCGTTTTGTTTTTGCAACTGAAAGATTCGTTTTATGCAAATACTCTGTGAAAATTTAATTTATACTGATAATGTTAAAATATATTAGCCTTCGGAAATACTTTGCAAGTTTTGCAGGGCAATCGCTTCCTCCACCAGCTGTAAGCGGTGCTCCAAGTTATGTTTCATCACAACCGCCACAAATATTAGGGCAACAATCATCGATTGCATCACGATCACAACAAGGTTTACCACCAAATTCAGTGCAACAACAAGTTGCAGCATCGAAGCCTATTCTTCAGCAAGCAACCGCACCCAAAATTATTCCTCAATCAGAGCATCAACAACAACCTTTTGCCACAACGACTCCAATGAGGGGTGTAACTCACCCAGTAGTGATACCACCAAATATCACACCCTCTGTTCCAGTTATTAGCACAAATCCTACTGTCGTTTCTAATGCTCCAGTTGCTGCACAGGGTCCTCATAATCCGGAAAATTCTCAAAGGTAAATAATTTTTTCCATAAAGATCAAAAGTTTTGCATGATTTCTTTCCGAGTTACGGAAAATAGAAATAGAAGACTTGAATTAACGCTAATTTTTTCTTTTTAGGGAAGAACGAAAATCATTACAGCGTGTAAGGCAGCGGACTGTAACGGTGCAAAGCCAAATAAGTCTCGACATAACAGCTGCATACAATGAAGTGAAACAGGTAGCTGTTCTTTTTTTTTTTGGAATACTCACTTTAGTTTTTTAGAAGTAACTAGCATAATATCTTTTTTGTAAGTAGAAACATTCGATATTTCTAGTTCAGAATGCCTGTCTTATGTTTACTTTTGGTTCATTTATATTTCCTCGCAATATGTGGAGACAGGATGAATGGGTATGTAAAAGCTCTATCTCCTTATTGATAATCTTACAGATCGAACATTTTAAGAGTAATTTAAGTGGATTAATTTTTAAAATTGTTATTAAAAAGTGTAAAATGATTCTTATCGAGAAAGATGTTAAGTCATTTAAATTGAAATCATAATATATTGATTCGAATTTGTAGTATTATTTAAGTGATACGGAGGAGAACTGATTGCAGATGAACTCAGATGACCCTGCTACTGAACTTGTACGACGTGTGCAAGCGATTGTTGCTACAAGAGAGAAAGAATGGAGTGCTAAAAATGAAAAGGTTAAAGGATTTTAGTGGAAGGATTTGTAACAATTTTGTATTAAGGTGTTCACGAATGGGTGGGTTTGTTACAAAGAACGACATGTAAAAAAAGCCATAAGTACATCGATGTCGTTCGAGAGTGCAGCTTCTCGAATAAAATATGTCCGTTTAATTTTGCTGTGATCCAGTGCAATTATGAATAGTAATGAACATAATCACTCTTGCCGTTTAAATGCTGACTAGCTAACAATTGAACATTACTGTTAACTTTTAGCTCTTAAGAGAATGATCATTATTAGTTATTTGTTGCTAGGCAGATAAATAAGTCAATTTGGTAGACAAATAAGCATTAAATCATCTATTTAATTGTTAACTTTTTTTTTTGCACTTTACTATTATTGAACAATCAATTTAAAGAAACTTTTCATTTAGTAAGAACTTAAATGAACTGTATAACACAATTGTTTTTCAGTTAACTCAACTGCTTGCACACGAACAAAAGCGTAATGAACCACTGGAACAAAAAGCTGCCGAACGATTATTAGCTATGGCTGAGTATGAAAAATTAGTGCAAGAATTTGTGGAAGAATTAAGGAAGAAAAATTCTGATGGTAAGAACTTTTGACTCATTTTCTATGAATGGATAGGATCATTAGAGAAAGGTAAAATTGATGTGTATTTTTACATTGCTTTGATTTTTCACAAATGAATGTAGTTAATAACATCATCAAGGTTATAAAAGAATATAAGTTGAATGACACTTGTTGATGGTACGTAGTTCGTGTGATAAACTGCATGTATTGTTGAGTGATGGTAGAAATACAAGATGACTGTACGGCCATTCTAAGAGAAAGTGCCACATTTAATGTTAGAAAGGAAAGAAAGAAGATAAATTAGAGAATGAATGGTTGGTGTTTGATCAGATATGAGTAGTTTTTAAATGATTCTTTGGATTTGGCATAATTTGTTGATGTATAGTGCTGTTGATTTATGTTTTATAATGATTTATATTACTAATTGCTTTTGATTAGTTTTCTTGGAAATTATAAAATGAACCAGTAAAATGATTCATATTAACTTTATAGCTGTTTTGCTCATAAAATAAAGTGATGCAAATTTTCAAATGTTGAAATTGCAGAGAAAAATTGCTTAGGTGAATCAAAATCAGTGGGTAGACCAGGACCAGAAAGGAATTTATCGCCGGATGATGTTACTCAGTTACTTAAAGAACGAGATCAATTAGCAGAGGAAGTGAATTCATTAGAAACAAGTTACGGTGAACTTTTCAGACGTTATGAAAAATTGCGACAAACAAGTGTTGAAATTAAACGAGTACGTTTTCTTTTTATCTTCTGATAACACAAGCGATATTAATTATCCCTTTCATATAATGGTTTCGTTATGTTTTGTGATTTTTTCCAGAGGAATGAATAATAATAATAGATACCTATATCACCTCATGTTTATATTATTTCTTGAATATCTCACTGAATGGTGTGATTGTTTTTGACTGAATGATTTTAAAGCTATTGGATTTGTGTGTAATTTGAAAGATTCTGTCAAACCCAAACTACTTTTATTCAAAAAACTCATTCCATCTGTACCATTCATGCTCGATTGTCGAGTAAATTTGACTGGCTAATTTAATAAAATGATTATGAGTTGCTTTTAGAAGACTTTAAGCATAATTCGTGACTCTGTGCAGCTTCGATTTATTTGAAAGTTATTTGCACTGATTATAAGCTTCTGTTTTCAGAATGAAGATAGTGTTAAAAGCGCATCTGAAGAAATGGCAAGGAGATATTCACTTCTTGTTGAGAAATTTGAAATGCTTCGACGAAATGCTGAGGAACAGTTGGATCTGTGAGCTTTCGTTCCGTTATTTCGTGCTAGTTAATTCCATTTGATAATTTAGATAATCTTAGTGCACGTATTGAAATTTAGACAACTGAAGCATTTTGAAAAGATGACTACTTTTATCTATGACGGTGGTATAGAATTGTTTGGTATTTTAGTATTTTAAGCAAGGATGGATTGAGATGAATAGTACTTAAATTTTTTTGAAAGAATATATGTTAGACTATCTCTAGCATATAGTTGTCCCATTAGCAGCGAAACTTATTATATGAATATAGAAGCAAATACTTTTATACATTAAGTGCTTTGTTGTGAGTTACCACTTTACGAATACGTCAATAATTTTACCAAATGCTTTGTTCTTTCCCAGCACAATAATTGCAAAATTTCATGCAGTGACTTTATTTTTCGAAAGAAGTATGTTTGTATGGCTTCGTGTTACAAATTCATGACTATGTGGATGAAATTTTTATGATCTTTATGTTAAGATAGTAACTAATGGATAATTTTACAGCGCAAATAACGAAATAGAAAGACTGATAAAACAGCATGAGGCAGATACACTTGGTTTGCGTTTGAAAGTGAAACATCAGGAATCAAAGATCGACAGTTTAACTGTGAGTCTGGAAGCTAGAGTAAGTTATAGCACAGTTATAATTAATGCGATGAAGGAAGATTTACTTTTGAATGAAATTAATAAAAATAGAATTTACGATTTATAAATTCATCTAATACAATTTGCATATGGTAACTGTAGATTTGCCGTACGTTCAGAACTAGCATTGAGCTATTTCTATATTAAAATTATTTCTTGTGCAACAAATCAAAAAAGAAGAGACAAATGGAATAAATTTGAAGTGAGAAGTAGAAATTAAATTTATCTAAGCCGAATAACGTATGAAAATGAATGAGGTTCTGTTCCGTCTTTGACTAGGAATGCAGATATTAATTTAATTTGGATCAAGTATAATAGGGGGACTTTTTTTATTCAGATCTTTCTCACGAAATAAATACTGATTCTGTTTAGTTCCAGTTCTAATTACTTAACTTGCATAATGGAATACCGTTCATATAATTTACAAATTTCGTTCATCCTGGTCATGTGATATTAGTTATGTGATGTTTTTTTGTGTGATATGTTAGACTACTCTTTTAATTTTCTTGATTTTATTTTGTTTAATCTACCAGATATCTTTTTACTTGCAGAGCAAGGAATTGGAAGTCATAGCGAGAAATACATGAGGAGAAGTAAACATAGAAACTAAAACAAGTGATAAATTAGAGAATAAACTGTATGATAAGAAAATGGAAAGAGAATTAAAAAAGTGGAAATGAAATTTTAAAGAAATAATTATGCATCGCTATTTCTCTATCACTATCATACTACGCATCATTTACAGAATTCAATAGATAAATCAAATTTTTTTGGGGCCTTCCGCTATTTGACTGTTACCTATAAATCATTTCTAGCAAATAAGCGAAGAAATTCTTAAACAAAGAGAAAAGTAGAAAAATGACAAAAAAATTGTTTTCCTCATTATTAGGCATTACATCTTTTATGGTCGCAAGAAGTTTCGCGATCACTGTTTTAGTATTTCGAAGGCTGGAATACGGAAAACTTAAAAATGAATGGCAGAGTGTCTGTCACTCAACCTCCATACAGTTCCCTTCTTGTATAATTATACACTTAGCCTTAGGACTCTTAGATTTTTTATTTTGGGTAGATATCGATGTTAGCTTATTAGTTGTTATGTGAAATCATTCCTAGATTGTAATGATACCGATTATCCACTCATCTTTTTGCTAATTCAGGACTATTTAATTGAAATACAACGAATTTAATACTGTCCATTTATTCAGTGTATTTAATTCTTATGCTGATTTTATATGTTCATTCTTTAATTTACTCTTTTTAAGTTCTGACATTCTTTTCCTTAACTTTTTTAAATAAACTCGTATATTTATTTGTAGCAGAAAGAGCTGGAAAGTATGACAGCAATATTTGAAGAAGTAATTACGAAGGCGGAAGCAAATGATGCTGCGTGCGATGCTTGATTTCGAGAAAATTTGTTTTCTTTGGATAGAATCTGATGCCGATATATTTTTTTTTTTGCTACATTTTGAAAATCATTTGAAAATTGTATTTCTAATGTTATATGTTACATTTTATTACATTTTTCCTTCTAAAATTTTCAAATTTACAAAATAGCTTTAGTGATATAATTATTCAAATTCTATAGTTTTCAAATTCCTTGTTTTTTTTTTCACTTGATTCTTTATTTTCTTTCTGATTCGTTGCAGATTAAATTTAAGTCTTTGATTTTAAATGAGCAAAAAAAGAAACGTACGAAAGTATAAATATGTCGAAACATTCGTTTAAAGTTTTTTGATTCCTATTTAGAATTGGAAAGTTTGTTTCTTCTAGCAATTTTTATAATTAAGGAACGGAGAAGTGAAACATATTTAGATGATATATAATAGTTTTACAATGATTTTATATGTATGCTAGCGTTTGTGAATACGGTGAGCTGAAAGGCGTCTATTTTTATTCCAATTTTCTTGTACTATAAATAGCATTTCATTATCTTTTATTGCTTGTAAGCTTATTTGAATATTTCAATTCACATGGGATCTTTGACTATTTTTATTCTAGCATATTGAATTGTATTTTTTTTTTTAAATTTAAAACGGACAGAACTGTCAAACGTATCTTATTTGCAAATTCATATGGGAATGGAGATTTTTCAAAATTCGAAGTTTCGATGAAATTCAATGAGGGCTATCATGACATCACTTTGATATTGTATTCAAGTTTTGGTCTCTGCTAACATATTTTTCCTAGCTTAGTAGTAGATCTCATCAATCTTCCAATTCCCTTTTCATATTGATAGTGAAAACAAGCCTAAATGGTTATGTTGCACGAAATATCATTCGTCTAGCGTAATCAAACGATCTGAATAAATTTGATTCCGCTCGACAACTATTTCTTGTCACCTGTAAGAAAAAGGAAAGTAAAGAATAAGCGTTTATTTTTTCATTAGTTATGAAAAGTTTAACTCATATGAACGTTGCATTTCTCTTCCCTTCTCAATTTTGATTATCTAGAAAATTGATTTCAATAAAACATTCAAGAAAATTTCTAGAGAAGAATTCCAGGATTTTTTTTTTTCAAATTCATATCTTTGCATGATTTAGCTTAAATTGATTTTTGTTGTGTAGATTGCTTTATTTGTAAAATTATAAATTTTCTAAAAAAAAGTTTGTGAATTATTCCTTTCTTGCAATTGTAATTTCTTCTATATTCGTCGCTCTATTTTGTGATATTTTTCATTTTTATATGTAATTATAGATATTTTGGCATATATGCTTAAAAAATTCTGTTAATTCGAAGAGTTTCTTTTGCACATTAAAATAAAAGACGTGTGCTGTATACATAAACAATAGACGAGAAGTTGAAAAGAAACAGCAAAAAATACTAGCATTCTAAATTCTTCTCAAGAGAAGAAAGGGTTTTTCCACAAGTGATATTTCGAAATAAATTTGACTAATTCTTTGATACTAATTGAGAAAATCGTCCGGCACTTAAGGTTGTGCATGTACTTTGTCCGAAATATTTTAAAACACACCTATCGATCCGTACAGATATTCTCACTTTATCTGCTCTCCCTACTTTATATTCCATATCATCTATTAGATTGTGTAATACAAATTATCAAAGTTAAAAACATAATTTACCACAAAGATTTCAATCTTAAATTCTCGAATAATTTCAAGATTATTTCAAATTCCTTAAAAATGGAAAAGTAAACAGTTTTAATTAGAAATTTGTAATCTCTCTTCGTTGCATTTTGGATGTTCGATGATTCGCTGATGAAATACGGGATTTTCAAGTTTATTAATCATATTTTTCGGATAACTCTGCCATTTCATGGATTTTATTGTAAAGATCATATTGAAGTTTTAAATCTGTATGCATATGTCTATCATTACAATATCTTTATTCTTTCATGCAATTCGCTTGAAACATTTTCACGGTGATCATTTTGAAGTTTATTCATTCCTTCATTGTTGACATCCTTCTAATCAAGCTATCTGATAAGTAATTAGGATTTTGACTGGTTAGAAAAAAATTAAATTCGATATTACAAAACAAACAAAACAAAACAAACAAACAAATGTTGCAGTATTCGGGATCAGTTGTCCTTTGTGATTGTGATCATCGTATTGCTGATATCATGCAAGTAAAATTTATAAGTCTAGGCTTACACTACCAGTTGTTAATTATTAAAGTAATATTGTCTCGTCATTAAAAACAAGGAACATTCAAGAATTGAATTATGAAAACAGATTAGTGGAATTAATTGTCTTTTTTGATTAATCATCATTTCTTTCATATGAATATAATTGAACTAACAACAACAATTTGTTGATTCAATTTTTTGCTCTCTAATTAATATTAGTTATCAATCAATTTTATATTAACAAATATATTGAAAGGTAGTTATTATTTTCAGGTAGTTTTTTCATCATTTAACCATTCTATTTACCATATCATTTTATTTTACCATTCTATTTAACCATTCCATTCCGATTTTCATTTAACCATTCTATTTTCATCATTTATCAAAATATCTCATTAAGAATAACAAATAAATTAATTACTATCCATTCCTAGATAAACCTTTACACTATTAATTACATTTTGTCATGTATTAAAATTATCATGAAAAAATATTCTTAAATTTATATTTTTCGTATGTAAAATTTTGGTTAAATCAATGAAAATTTGTAACATTTTTCATACGAAATGTATAAACAAATAAAATATGCAAATTTAACAACTATTAAATTATTTCCTTATAAAATAAGTGCACATGATCACGGTAAATCAGTGTTTTGATTTAATCATTTAACAAAAGGGTATTTTGGATAAGGTCGAGCAAAGTGCATCCAACCTACTGATTGACATTTTGAAGCGGAAAATAAAGTGAACAAATTGGAAAAAACAAAACTGTAAGAGATAAAAGATTAAAATTGGCATCATTTAATTTGATTTAAAATTATTTAGCAAAATAGTCTTAATTACAGGACGAATCGAGAAAGCATAAATTGTTCAACATGGGTGCAGCTGTAATTCTATTTTTGCTCATTTTAATTGGTCTCGGTGTTGCCTATCATATGGGAATTCTGGAACCGTACATCAAAGAGGCACAGGCACGAATGAAGCAAGGCGCTGGTGGTGGTGGTGGTGGTGGTGGTGGTACGACTCAATAAAAATTTCACATTTATAAATGATCGATATGCTCCGCCTTTTCCAATAAATTTCATTTTTCATCCAAGAAAATTCAATGAATTTTTTGAAATGATTTTAAAAATTTAAACAATATATAAATGCCAAACTAGATTATCTATGATTCAATAATACATATCATACTAATTGATCTATTTTTTTCATAATTCATTACTTAATTCACTATTTCTTTTAACTGCTTTACCTTGTAATTTTTTAAATTTTCAAATTAATCAACTTGCCGCAGGAGTAATTATCAATAAAAATATCTTAAGATTAAATAATACTAATAATGAACTTTTGAATCAGATTTCTCATCAGTAATGACACAATAAATAAACTGATACTGAATTGAATGTTAACTAAATAAAATGATTATTCTCATATTATTATTGCAATTTTCTCCTTTTCTCTTTTTATTTCACACTTTTTATTCCACGATTTTGTCAAAAACTTCTGTATCTGACATTTCATCTTCCATCACTAATATTATTTGATTATTTGATATGAAGGAATTATTTTTCAATTGAACAAGTCTGAAATGAAGACAAATATTCTTATATTGATAATATTGCGCTGAAATTTATTCTTATAAATGGTAAAAGTCTAAAAAAAAAAAGATATTTATGCTAAGAGTTTAAAATGCTGTCACATGAAAATGTAGATAGCAAAATTTAGTAATCTTTCGTTAAACAATATGAAAATCATATCGTTTTTCTCTTTTCAAAAGGATGCCATTCAAACATATCAACTAATCACTAGATATTTTCTGTATAATTTATTTTTTGTTTCATTACAAAATTTCTAATTGTTATTTGAAATTATGAAATCGATGCACGATGATAGTGCAGTTCAATTAGCTGATCAAATTCTGGTAGATCTTGAAATATCTTTATCGAAAATTCCATCCACATACTTTTACATAATCTAGCAAACGTTTTTTTATTTAGCGAATTCAGATATATTTCTATTGTCGCAAAAAATTTTTGATTCAAAACTTTTAGACTTGATTGAACAGCATATCTTTTCTTTGCATTTTTTTTTCTTTCAAGTAAATCATGCTAAATTACCATTTGCGTTTATAATACATGTAACATAACATACAAATAATTTTTCAAGAAATACTTCAGGCCAGTAAAATTCGTAACAATTTTATGAACTACATCAGTAACATCAATTAGCTTTCAACAATATATTGATATAAAATTTATAAAACATGAAAATCCAATTTCAAACAACAAACGATTTAGTATAAAACAGATAGAAAAGTCTCTTTTTTTTTCCACAGTAAAAATAAAAATAAACTTATATAATTAATCAGTATCAAGCACTTGAAAATTAACATCTCTGCATACAAAATCGAACTCTTCATACAAAATCATATAATTCGTCGATATTTCTAAATTATATACACAATCATATAACCAAAACTAATTGTTACAATTTAAGCTTCATCTATGAAAAGTATGCTATAATCACATCATCTATCATCTACATAGTTCACGCTCAAATTGTACGAATTAATGCAAATTCTCTATTGAGAGCGTTAACGAAGGATAATTTAAACAAAAAAATAGTTAACGATTACTGAAATCTCATGTTTATTAACCAAATTAAAATTACAATTCTTGTCAATAATGAATCTACATACCCTCCTACACTTGCTCCACGAATGCTCATCATTTCTGACTGACTAGAGGAGAAAAGTCGAATAACAGTTCAAAAATTTTAAAACTTTAGACTTAAATGATGACAACGACAGGATACATTTCACCCTAATCTTTGGAAGAAACAATAGTTAATGGTGTATAAAGATAATCAGCAAGTGCACGAAGTTTTGCTCGAAGCAGACCAAGTGGCATTTCACTTCCTGCTTTTATTGCTAAAAGCATGTTGGCTATGCGTTTCACAGCAATCACTCCATTTTCGCATTCCACTAGCATCTCCGTCAAATTTTCTCGTAATCCTGGAAAATAGTTCGATATCAAATAAAGCATAATGCTTAACACATTAGCTTTTGACTATGTGCTTTACGTGTATTTAATGCCATGATATCACGCCACATCAAAATGTATAGCTTTTATATCACTTGACTTCGATAAAAAAAAATTTGAGGATGGTTTATGGAAACGAAAAAAGCAGAAAATTGTGAAAATTCCAAAAACTAACAAACAACAAAATTTAATAGCATAACACAAGTAAAATGAAAATTTTTATCACTATAGAAGTAAGCGGTTAAAATAAAAGTAAAAAGAAAAATTTATTTGTTTAACTATTTCATTTTATTCTTTTGTAGCAAAAATTTCTAATGGAAATTTACAATTCTTAAAGAAAAAAAAAAACGTTTCACCTTGTCTCTCAAAAGTTTCCCAAATATTAGAAATCAAAGCAGCAGATACTGTTGCATTTGCATCATTTCCACCAACACTGTCATAACCACTGTAAGCGAGCAATAAACCTAAAATAGGCACATAATAACATCAGTCGGAATATTAAAAAAAAAATGAAGAAAATTATGTCTGCATTCAACTGATTGCCCAAAAACTACTAGAAGAGACGACATTTGATGCATCGATAATTTATCATATACATACTTTTAATTAAAGTACATTATCAGATAAATTTTCGATGTAAGACGAATAATCGGAATAAAATTCACATGATAAGAATAATTTCGTAAAGTGAATAACTTAAACTGTACAGAGTTTCATTTCTTTATTTTATATCTTTGTTTCTATTCTTGTAATACTTTTCTCGTAACTCACCTGTCCTACTTTGTGCTACTAATAAGGAGGAAAGTGCTTTTAAGTTATATTATCGATCAAGAAAGTATGAGTCGACTAACCTTCACGGTTAAGCAGAAGAGCACCACTTTTCGTGTTTGGCGTATTGACTTGCCCAAGCACTTCAGTTAATGCTTTCGGCTTTAACATTACTTCAATCTAAGTCCAATCATAAATTTGAGGTTCATGAAATAAAAGTTTAGATCTGTGTTAAAAATTTTACCCGTATTTCTTTCCTATCTTCTTTCTGCCTTTTTTTTTCATGATCATTTTATGAAAACTTGAAACCACTCACGCATTCTAATTCATTCTAACAGTAATAGTTAGATGGCATAACCTTAAGTGCTTTTGAATGTTACATACACAATACTATATATTTCTGCAACTTTTGCAGATATCACATTTTTTCTTTTTCCTCCTAGTTTATTTCAAATATAAACAAAATAGAATGAAGCCAATTGCGAATCAACTGATAAATAAGTAGCCAAAACACATATATATGTATATACATATATAACATTTTATAATTTAGGATAAACAACTGCAATATACAAAGATCAGAAATTGAACGGAAACAAAATAAAACAAGATATCCACAGAATCAGAATCTGGTTGCAAAAGTACATAACAATAGACATCATAAAATTGAACCGATTAAATTTTTAACTTCACTTAATTGCAATTTCAATCAGTCCATCGATGTGCGCAACTTGGATTCATACAAACATAGTACAGCCTCATCTCTTCCTAAAACAGGTTATTCAAAGTAATTCAAAAATTAATTACAGCAAGTTAAAAGATCTATGCAAAAAAAGTTAATCAAAACATACTTCAGCTCTCCTAGACTGAGCTTGGAAAAATACAGCTTCTCGTCCCTGACACATTGGACAGGGATGGTCCTCGGTTTTTGGCAATGTCGGGTCATGTACAACATCAGCCACAATTTGAGTTAATTCACTAAAAGCGATTAAAAATAAATGTTCCAATGCTGAATGGAAAACTGATTACTCAGAAATCAGGCTATATCCAAATTTAAATTCGAAACCAATCTTCACGAAAAAAAAAATATCACCAGGTTCAAAGCAAAACTTACTCTACTTCATGCATTAATTTGTTGACATAAATACATGGATTTTCAGAAAGCTGTTTATGATCACAATTCCGGCATGCATATAATAATTGTCTATTTTCTTTGTCCTCTTTTGGATACAACATATTATTGCTGAAATAATCTTGGAATAGCGCAAAAATTCAACCAAACAATATGGACATTCCACTTCCACAGCCATTTAGGAATTCAAAACAAACTTATGACCCATTACAAAAATCGCTCAGCATACATCACTTTCACACCTTGATTTCTTGATTTATCTGAAAATGAAATGAACTTACCATTCCGGACAAAATTTTATACCGACAAATCCAGGCTCTGCAGTCATTCTCCAAAGCTACAGTTTCAATATTCTCCGCCAAGACTTGCACTTCTACAATCTTTTCTCCTTCAAATTTTGATACTTCTAGCATTTTAATTTAAATCTCAGCTGCAGCATAACTAATTCAGTTACAGCATATTTGCTTCAAAATGAAGTCATATAACTATGCAATGTACCATATCTAACTGAACTCTCACAGCTAATTTCAGCCACATAGAGTATTTCTGGTTCATATCTAACATTTCTGCAGTCCTTGACAAGAATTATCATTTATAAACTCTTCAAATGAAGTCCAGAAGTTAACACAAGGCCTTACAAAAAAAAAAAAAACCTTGTAATCGTCAAAACTCAACATCCATTCCTCTTCTTCAACTTTTGCAAGCACTTCATTTTCGATAAATATTCGGAATATTTCCATAAAGAAAGAAAAAACGAAAAAAAAAATCAACTTTACTACTATGACTTATACCATCAATAATGCTATACATTACAACCATTAGACACGATGAAAAAGAAGCTGAAATTTTAAGTGACGACAAACTCTTCAGCAATAAAAGATCTACTAGTAGCATAACGATGAAAATACCTGGCTACGAATTCTTCATAGACTAGAACATATCATGCTTGCACTTTGCGACTATAAGAGAAAAAGCTTCTCCTCATTTATGGAAGACCTGATACATGAAACACGGCATATGCTGTTGTAGATTTCACAACATACGATAGAGTATTTTGCAAAAGAAAATAAAATAAGAGAAAATCACTATAAGCTATACAAACTGCATAATAATCACAATTCAGAATATTTAATAGAAATAACAAGCTATCACAGGAATCATTTGGAACATGCGCTTGTAGGCAAACCTAGAAACATCTCATTTTGCCTTATTGTGCACATCAACTATTATAATATTTTCAATCAAAGAATCTTCTATTCGGATTTTCACCAAACAAAGATACACGAATTTGAGGTACAAGCTGCAATAACTTTTTCTTATTATCAGTTAAATGCATATCTCAAAACTTTACACTACATGAATCAAATGTATAATCTGTCGCAATCGTTCAAACCAACTAAATTAATTTTCGTTTGATGTAACTATAAAAAAATCTAGCAAATAGCTTTTTCAATCTAGAAAAAATGAAAAGAATCGTCGGAGGATTTAGTTTCTATTAACTTTAAGTAGTCCATTCGGTCAATACTTTTTTTTCTACCGTGAAAGATGAGCCCATTTAATTATTACAGTATAAGATAACTCGGTATAAATTCTTATAGTTGTTATCATGATCCAATCTCAGAAAGTATCACACTGAAAGTATAAGTCATTAATATATATCTACAGTGCCTAGTACTACGCTGGAAAATAAAGCCGAATCCATTCTTTTGCCTCGGATATCAAAATATGATTTACCTGAGCAGCAATCAATTCTAAACGAGATTCAAGTGTCGATGAAACCTTTATTTTACCATTTCTAGCTGAAATTTCTACTCCACCAGCACTTTCATCATGTAAATATTCAGTAGTATCGATTTTTACCTAAAAGGAACATATAATATCTCTATCAAATCAAACCGGACTGAAACATGAACTACTACTCTCTTTAAAATTTACTTGAAGCATATTGAAACACACAGTACAGAGTGCGTTTTAAAGTATAAAAAAGAAGAGGAAAAGGACGTAATAAAGCCACAATTCTTGATCAGTCATCAGACAGAAAATTTAAACCTTTGTACGTTCACCCCACTGCTGCTCAAGTTCGTCAAGACATTCCGGTATGAGTTTTTCAACCAACGGTTCATCTTTTTTACGGCAACGTAATGTAACTTCTCTTTCCAGCAATTGGAACAATGCCTGCAAGACTTAGGAATTATTTAGATGATTCACAAGCAACAATTTCAATCAAGATATATCTGGGAAAAAGAGCAATACCTGCAAGATTAAACCTTTCAAGATTGATGGATATTTGGTGGAATCTCCAGAAATTCGACTCAAACTCAACCGCGCTTCTTCCAGAACCTTATTTAAATGATCCTCACGTGCCTGTAAATGAAAGTATTAAATGCATAGATAAATGCTTTCAGAACAAAACGTCAGTATCCATGTATGCCGTTGTATATTATAAGATACACGTCATATATTCGGCCTAAAATTTCAAATATTCATACTTTTAAGCATTTTAGGCGTCCCTGATTAAGCATGTTCGAACTCTGAATTTTTCTTTGAAGTTCGACCTGCTTTTCTTTCTTATCATAATATTCTAAAATCTTGGTTCGTTGTTGCTGGACAAGACGGCCCTGAAAACAATCTAGTATTAAAAGGTAATTTTTCTAAGTAATCACTTTGTTGTTAAGCGATTAACTAGATTTTTCTAAACCATTTTATGATCTTATATGGTAATGACAATTTCTGCTCTCTCAAGTACGGACATGTATACATCTTATATGGGAAAGTTTATAATCGCAACATTTAAACAACTTTATTAACTTTATTCATTTAAACAACTTTATTTATTCCACTACTTTTGTCCATACTTTGGATGAACAAACCGAGAAAGCAAAAACAATGTTTGTCTTAGTTCCCCATTTTATCTAATGTATCAATCGAAGATAACGCAATCTTTACCTTTTCAATATTGAATTCCTCTTCCGCCTTTGCATCAACTTCCTCGGCTTTTTCAATTGCTTCTTGTTCAATAAATGCGATCATATGTCGTAATTGTTTCTGCACATCGTTATCTGAGAGCCCCATTTTATTTCTCTACAATGTACTTGAATTTATGATTGAAATTTTCATGAACTAAGGCTCCAACATAATTTACAAGCAATAACGATTGTAGTTAAAATCAAAGACTAAGCAACTTTTAAGCAATTATAATACGGTGTCGCTTTCAAATAATCTAACAATACTGCACTTAACCATATAATATATAAACACCACAACAATCACAACAACCAGTTATACAATTGAAGTATACTTAGTCAAAATGTACGCATAAATAGATAAACAGCCAAATACGTGCAACTTCTATAATACTTTTATAATATGATACACCTGTTTGAGGTATTAAATTGACTGAAACAAATAAGATCAATAACAACATGTATGAGAATGAAGTATATTTGAAGAAAAATAACTCGCTTTGCAGAAGAAGGTCACAAATTTACAGAGTAAAATTTACAGAGTTACAGAAGAAGGCTACATATTTACAGAGATAGAAGTTAACTTCTATGTGATCATTTCATAGTGCTAGCTACGAAATGACACACATAAAGATCAACCCAGTAAAGTCAACCCGGTAATAAGGTTAACCCAGTAATAGGTATCACACCATACAACCTGTAATAAACAACAGATACCATCAATTCGAATTGACTCTGTAAAACAAAAGATTGAAGATCAGAAATCAACAGCAATGATACATGGTCGTAGCACATCTTTACTTCTCACTATGCAACACTTTATAAACCAGTGTAGCGTAATAAGCAAAAAAAAAAAATATTTTTAAATTTCAATTAGCGTATATCTTCACTTCCAAATGCATCAGTAATTCATAAGTATTGAATTTTTTTGTTTTTGAAGACTTGGGAATTCGTGTTAGAGATAATTAAAAAACTGTAAATACAATAAGTAAGAGATAATTGTATTAAAATAAATTGAGAAAACAAAATTAAAAATATTGTTTGTGGACTTTTTTTTTTTACTCTCTTCAATGATTCACTGTTAATCGTACAGATCAAATCTTTTTGCAGAAATCACTAATTGCGAAATAATTTGCTCACTGAAATGAAAATTTTTTATTTTGATAGCATTAATTCACAAACTTTTTCCATTTTTTTCACATTGTGTAATATTTACGGGATTACCGATCTTTACGGAAATTTTTTTCTTTTGGATCATTGATAGTAAGTAATTAACTTATTACTTATTCTAATGTTTTATTTTTTATCAACTGTAATCCTATTTTCAGTTTTATCGAACGCTTTCTTGTAAGCTTTTATATTAATAAATTGGTCGAAATATATTTGAATTATTATAAATCGAAAATAAGAGAAATTTCTAAGCTACATTACGGTATGAAATTATCACTGAAATGATTGAAAAATGGTGAATGCAATAAGCAAAATAAGAATCATCACACAGTGAAAATTTTGAAATTAAAATCAGATATCTAATTAACTGATAAATTATGTGAAACGTGATAACGCCAATATTACGATGATATGAACATTCTGAAAAGTAAAAATTGAGAACTATTTGCTAACTTTTAAAACTTTTGAAATACATAAGATAAAATTGCTATAAGTTATTAGAAGTTGAGAGAATAGACTTATCAAATCAGATAAGAGACTAATAAAAAATCAGTTATCCAAAATTTGATTAAACATTGACCGAAGAAAACCAGGTATTAATTAGAATGTTGTTTAATTTTTGCAGTGTTTAAATTATTGTATTTAATATCAATATTATGCTGAAGCTTATTAATTTGAATATGATTCAAAATTGTCTTGTTGGAAAAATAAATGTTTTATTATACAATAATGACTTAAAGAAGATCTTATTATGTAGAATTTTAAAGCATCTCATTAAAAAGATTTGACAATTACTAGCAATATAAGTGAATTTCACACAATCTAATTGTTAATTAAATAAAAATTTCAAATCAAACTTAATGACGTAAATTTTTTTGGAAATCTCATAACCAACATCAATATGTTCAGTCAATTTTAAAAAATTTGAAAGCAGTCAAATTAAATTGCCACAATAAATTTAAGTCACATTTAAAAGTATTTTTAAAAATTGCAAAATATTTACAGCATATTGCTAATCCTTGTAATCAATATTAGCTATCATATAAAAATTTCTCGGTGCTTTCGGACGAATATATTTCACAATCGATAAAAGTAACAAAATTAGCATACTATTACTATTGCGAATGCATTATTAATGTTCAATTTATTTTGTTTACTTCGATATTATCAAAGTTTTTGGATCAAAATGCCAAATAAGATTAAGCGCTAAAATTACATTCGAAACGATTTTTTCAACAATTGCAAAACAATTGGGCAATTTCTGTAAACTGATAAATGCATTTTGATAAATTACGAATTTCTCTATGACAGCAACTGAATTAATCGGACCAATGATAATATTAAGATATTACACGTTGTAAAAATGCAAATAATATGATATAAATAGTGATCGTAATAAGGAAGTAATCCACTTCAACAAGTGCAACTTCAACAATTTTCTGCAATTATAATTGAAATTTCGGCAACTGTTGTTGTATTTGGCGAAAAGGGTAAATTTAGTTTTTGAATATACCTGAATTTCTTAAAAATGGCACTACGATAATTTACATGATATATAGATAAATTTTTTATAGGCTTATGGAAGTGTTTTTTTGTAGAGCCAATGATTTGATTTGTAGATAAAAGAGAAATCACGTCAACAGTTTCCCTCACGTCTGCAACTTCTACCACGTTAACAGCTTACAAATTAATATAGCTTCCACATCAACAAATCATACGTCAGTAATTTCTTCCAATTTAACCAACTCTTCAATGTCAACCGATTCGCCGATATCAACAGCTTCTCTTATATCAAGAAGCACTTCACACATATCAGAAGCTTTTACCGTGAAAACAATTTCTCCAACTTCTTCAATTTCGTCATCAACTGTGGAAGAATTAAAAAGTGAAAAAGGAAAGACTGCGGACGATCAATGAAGCTACTACTTAAAGATCTCAAAAATTTTTCATTTGTTGGAATCTTATGTCATGCCTAACAAATTCGTATGGACAATATCATTGTCCACCTTATGCAGACATCTTTTATGGACCATATAAAGAGTTAATTTGTTCGAATAAAATTCAGTAAATTTTTCACTCTTTTTGTATATCAAATTTACTTAAAATTCAATGAAATGACAAATAACTTTTTTATGACAAATTTATAACTTTGTAGCAACATAAATGAACCGATTGATACCAAATCATGGTGATCATTTCGAATAAATCTTACGAAACAATTTCACTCCAATTTTGTATTTACTGTAGTGATTGAGAGGAATAAATTGTCCATGTCATTCAATGAATATTCAAAATTATTTCATTCAAAAAAAAAGTACTATAAAATACACCTTCAAAATAATATTCTCTTGAAATGTTTTTTTTTTTTAACTTATTACTATAATATTTCCTTGAAATGAAATATTTTAGCGTACTACTTAAAATTGATTAAATTTAGCTATTGCATAGTATTTTCTTAGTTTATTTCTCTATCGAAAATATTCATATTTCAGTTACTAATCGGCTAGTTTTAAAAGGTTGAAATTTAACTAATATATTGGAGTGCGTATGACAATTAGTGTAATATTATTTATATGATTAATTATATCATTCGCTAAATTTCTATTCCTTAAATTATTCTTAATTAGGTTAAGTTATTTCGAGAAGATTTTCTAATCTCCTGAAAACCAGAAGTAAAAAATATTACAGTTATAGCAGAGAATTTCTTTTTATCTCACTATACAAATACAAATTTTGCCCATTTATACAGCTTATTTTAAATTAAAAATGTATGACAGGAATAAAATATAACACACATATCACAGCATGTATCAATCCAATTCAATTGCTATATCGAAAATGATGAACAGAATCAAATATTTTGCAGTTTTGCTATGAAGGTTATAAATTTGTTCAAGAATAATTGCACAGCAATGATATTTCCGGATTGTCCTTTCATTTATAAAATAAATTTTGTTGAATGAATTTTTGAAATGAGTAGAGAATTAATTTTCGAATATTTTCTCATTAAAATTAATAATTTAAATAAAAAATTATAACTTTTAGTAAATGATCTTTCATTATTAGTTGAAAAAATGTCTATGCACCCAATATAACAAAACTTTTATCGAATTTTACACAGCATTAGTTGAAAAAATTAAAATTTTATTATGTCAAAATGAAAGCGGAAATTCGGTATGATCTATATTTCTATGAATATTCATTTTAAATATTCATTTGTGAATTTGTTTTTTCTACGAGTAATCAATTATTTTTTTTCTCGCAATTGTTTATTTGCAATATTATCACTCAGATGATTTAATTTTACAAACGATCATTTATGTACAACAAAATCATTTCTGTTTAACTTAATTCATCTAAATTGAAAATAATCAAACAAAACAGCACTGTTTTATCACTTTGTGTATTTTTTATGTTCATTTGTAAGTATTAAAATTATCAAATATTTTTAAAAAATAAGAAATAAACAACAAAACAAACAGAATTTATCGTATCTATGGCTAAATGAAAAAAAAAAAAATAAACTTCTTCATATCATCTTAATGTACATTAGCTTGATCAAATCTGGAAAGATTAATTGAATTAAATATTAAAACAGTAGGAAAATTCGATGTGCTTTCTTTTGAGAGAGTGACATAGTTGCTGTGATTGTCTGATAAATTTATTGATATCAGAATGATTCAATTTTTGAAAATTACGAAACATTATAGCCAAATTACACATAGCTAAGCATCAAATTTTTTTAAAGTAATTTATTTCATAGCTAAGGTAGAAGAAAAAAAAAGACCAATAGTTTGTATCGATTTAAATTGTTCCTTTTTTTTTCATGAAAAGACCACTTCGTTTCAACCATGACTAATCAGATAGGCTATATTCAATTAATCAAATGCAAGAAGGCATCATTGTTGATGAACAGGGAGAGAGAGAGAGAGAGAGAGA